TAGTCTTGTTCCTAATCTTCGAAGAAAAGCTTTCAGCTTTTCACTGTTGATGTTATCTGTGGGCTCACCAAATACGTCCTGTATTGTGTTAAAGACATTCCCTTTATATCCACTTTGTTGAGAATTTTTAATCATGAAAGGATGAATTTTTTTTAAATGCTTTTTCTGCATCTACTGAGATCATGATTTTCTTTCTTCATTTTATCAATGGGGTGTATCACATTGATTGATTAGTGAATGTTGAACAATTCTTGTACCCCTGGAGTAAATCCTATGTGATCATGGTGTATTATCCTTTTAATGTATTATTGAATTCAGTTCGCTGATTGTTTTGTTGAGGACTTCTGCATCTATGTTCATCAAGGATATTTGCCTGTAATTTTTCCTTGTAATGTCCTTGTCTGGTTTTGGTACAAGAGTAATGCTGGTCTCATAAAATGAGTTTTGAAGTGTTGATGCTTCATTTATTTTTTGGAAGACTTTTAGAAGGATTGGTATCAATTCTTCTTTAAATGTTTGGTAGAATTTTTCAGTGAAATAATCTGGTCCTGGACGTTTGTTTGTTGGGAGATTTTAATTACTGATTCAGTCTGTTCATATTGTCTCTCTATGAGTCAGTCTTGGTAGGTTGTGTGTTTCTAGGAATTGATCCCTTTCTTCTAGGTTGTGCATTTTGTTGGCATATAATTGTTCATGGTAGTCTGTTATGATCCTTTGTATTTCTTTTGTATCATTTGTAACATGTTTAATTTCTGGTTTTATTTGAGTCCTGTCTTTTTTTTCTTGATGAGTCTAGCTAAAGGTTTGTCTATTTTATCTTCTCAAAAAACCAGCTTAGTTTCATTAATCTTTTCTATTGTCTTTTTAGTTATTTCTGCTCTGATCTTTATTTTCTTCCTTCTACTAATATCAGGCTTTGTTTGTTTTTTGTTTTTGTTTTTCCTATCATTCCCTAAAGTATAAAGTTAGGTTCTTTATGTGAGATTTTTTTCCCCCTCACCCAAGGATATTTGTCCTTTTTTTTTTTTTCCCCCAGATGGAATGGGAGGGAAGGAAGGAGATAGACAGAGAGAAACATCAATGTGTCTGAAAAACACATCTCTTGGTTGCCTCCCAGAAGACCCTGACCAGGGCCAGGGATCAAACCTGCAACCAATGTATGTACCCTTGACTGGGAATTGAACCTTCAGTCTGTGGGCTGACACTCTTAACCACTGAGCCAAACCAACCAGGACTATTTCTTGTTTCCTAATGTGAGAGTTTATTACTGCGATATTACCTTTTATTTTATTTACTTTTTAAATCCTCACCCAAGAATATGTTTTTTAAATTGATTTTAGAGAGGGAGGGAGAGAAAAATCAGTGAGAGAGGAAGACATTGATTGGATGCCTCTTGTACATGCCCTGATCAGAAATCGAACCCACAACCTTTTGGTATATGAAACAGTGCTCCAACCGAGCCACCCGACTGGGGCTGAACTTACCTTTTGGAACTGCTTCTGTGTCTCGTAAGTTTTGGTATATTGTATTTCCATTTTCATTTGTCACAAAGTATTTTTAAAATATTCTTTGTTTTGTTTTTGACCCATTTGTTGTTCAGGAGCATGTTGTTTCTCTTCATCCATCTGTGAATTTTCAGTTTTCTTCTTGTAATTGTTTTCTGTCTTCATACCATTGTGGTCAGAAAAGATGCTTGATATGATTTGTCTTCCTAAATGTATTGAGACTTGTTTTGTGGTCTAACATATGCCTTGTCCTGGAAAATGTTCCAAATGAAATTGAGAATGTGTACTAGGTTGCTTTGGAGTGGAATGTTCTGTATATGTCTGTCAGGACCATCTGGTTTTAATGGTAGCTTAAGGCCCATTTCCTTTTTTATTTTCAATCTGGATGATCTATTCAGAAATGAAACATGGGTGTTCAAGTTCCCTGCTATAATTGTTTACTATTTCCCCCTTTAGGTCTGTTAATGTTTTTTTGCCTTATGTATTTAGACATTCCTATGTTGGATGCATAAATATTTACACATGTTAAAACCGCTTGTTGTGTTGATTTATATTATGGCCTTCTATGTCTCTTATTTTAATTATCTTAAAGTCTGTTTTGTCTGACATATGTATAGTTCCCTCAGTTTTCTTTCGGTTTCCATTTGCCTGGAATACTTTTCCATCCCTTCACTTTCAGTCTGTGTGTCCTAACATTGAAAGTGAGTCTTTTTTTATGTAGACCTATGTAGATGGGCCCTATCTTTTAATCCACTCAGCCACTCTGCCTTTTAGTTGACAGCTTAATCCATTTACATATAAAGTAATTATTGATACATATGTACATATTGCCATTTTAACTTGCTGCTTTTAAGGTTCTCTCCTGTCTTTAATGTTTGAGCATTTAATGATAATGTGTCTTAGTGTGGGTCTCTTTGGATTCATCTTGTTTGGTATTCCCTAGGCTTTTCTGGATCTGGATGTCTATTTCTTTTTCCAGGTCAAGGAAGTTTTCAACCATTAATTCTTTGAAAAATCTTTCTGCCTCTTTTTCTCTTTCCCTTTTGTGCCCCCTTTTATGTATACATTGTTAATTTGATGGTATCCTATAAGTTCCTTAAGCTATCTTCCCTCTTTTTTATTCTTTCTTTCTTTACAACTCTAATTGGAGAAATTCCACTGACCTGCTTCAATTTGCATGGCCCTTTCTTCTGATTGATCTAGTCTGTCAAACCCATGATGAATTTTTCAGTTAATTCTTCAGTTCTGTAATTTCTATTTGGCACTTTTAAAATATTTTCTATCTGTTGAAATTCTTTGTTCGTGCTTTAATCTCCTGATCTCACTGAGCATTTTTTTCATTGTTATCTTAAACTCTTTACCAGCCTCTCTTTCATTAAGTTTTGTTTCTGGATATTTGTCTTGTTCTTTTGTTTGGAACATAGTCCTTTCTTTATTTCCCTTGACTGTCTGTTGGTTTCTATGCATTAGCTGTGACAGCCCCCTCTCCCAGTCTTAACAGAATGGTCTGGTATAGGAGATGAACCTTGTCAGTCATCTATGCCTGAGCTCCTAGGTGTCTCTCAAATTTTGTGATTGTCTAAGCCTCCTTAGTGGCTCTCAGTATTTAGGGTTTGCTGAGACCAATTTGTGAACCAAAGAGGAGGGTCTCCGCATCTAGATGCAGGCTGATTAGAACCTGGCCTCTCAGGCAGCAGCTGGGAAAAATATGTAGTTAAATTTCTTCAAGAGAGAAATGTCAATGCACATTTTTTGCCTGCTCTCTGTGCTGGGCCCAGGTGTTTAACCATGGGGTAAGGGTAAGGGTAATGTTACTCCTGTGCCCATTAGAAATTGTTACAGTCCTGTCCAACCAGTGTGGCTCAGTGGATTAAGCATTGCCCCATGGACTGAGACGTCCCACTTCAATTCCCGGTCAGGGCACGTGCCTGGGTTACAGGCTCGATCCCCAGTACGGGGTGTGCAGGAGGCAGCCTCCTGGGTGTACAACCTCCTTCCACAGAGATACCAGTGACTTGGAGTGGCCTGGAAGATGTGTCCTCCAGCTTCCCTGGTTTCTGGAGAAAACTACAGCTAGTCCTAGGCCTGCTACATTAGATGCCTGGCCCTTAGCAGCTTTTAAGGTATAGAAAAATAAACCTGTTTCAAGGAAAGACTTGGGAGATGAGTCTGCCTGGTCTTCCTGCATTGAGTCTTAAGAGTATATCCACAGTGACCATTTTATACACCAGTTAAGAATTGCTTCTTTGTTTGCTAAAGTCTTATGGATCTCATAGACACCTGCTGGCTTTGAGCCAGGTGTTTTGGAAGCTCATCACTCCAGTGGGAGCCTTAAAAGTTGAGGCACTAGATATAAAATCCAAACACTTCACTCCTCAACCCTCAGTTGTATGGTACTGTGCTGGGGTTTATGGCAAGTGTATCTCAACCTTTCCTACCCATTTCTATGTGGCCGTTTTCTCTTTGTCCAATGTGTAGAAACAGTTCAACTACTTTCTGGATCTCTTTCAGAGGGAACTGCTCCATCGCAGCTGGACATCTGGGGAGTCCATGGAAGGAGGGCACTCAGTAGCCCCCTATGTTGGTCAGCTCTTCTGTATCCCGCTCTTTAACATGAATGAGAACTTTTTCTACCAGGGGTTATGACAGACTCATCATCTGTCCCCTCTGAAGTTAACCCCCATTTTTAAAATTGTGACCGTTATAATTTAAATTGTAATGTGAGAAGGCTCTTCTACACTGCTGGTTTTCATTATGAGCCACTACTACATTCTTGTATATTAAGTTCTATAATTCTGCTTCAATAAGATTGTCACATGTAGTATTTGTAAATCTAAGGAATTAGGAGCTCACAGGGTTGTGCCTCCACAGTCTGATTACTAGTGAAGAACATTTTGGCACTTCTTACTCAAACACATCCAGATCGGAATCTCCGTGATGGAGCCTGGAAATCTGCATTTAACGATTTCTAGACGGATTTAAATTCACATTGCTCTCTAGAATTCATCATTGTTATTTTCATTGACATCTTTTGACAGTTTTTACACCTACTAGTTTATTCTCTTGCTACTTTTCTTTTTACTGGGTGAACTTAACATCTAATATGATATGCAGCTTAATTTCTTAGCCACTGTCCTTCCTCGGAGTACTGATATCAGGTATTGGCATTCTGATTCAGAGGCATTGAACTAGGTACAAATAGCAGAAGCAAGTGTCAGGTCTCCCCCCCACCCCCACCCCAAACTGTGGGGTTTCGGGAGAGCGAGCACTCAGATACTGGTTTGTATTTTGCAGAAGTTCACAATGATTTTGATATAGAAATTTAAAAATCTAATTTGTTTTAACAAAGGAGTTTATGCTAACTGTGTTATTTATCCTGCTCTTCTGTTTGTACACCAAATCAGAAGTAGAATGGATTTTCTTATATACATCTTTAACAAATAAACCAATTGCAATTTAGGTTTTAGCATTAATGATGATTTCTTTCTCTCACAGGTGTCATCTTTAAGGAATGAAAAGCGAGGCTCATCTTATCTCATCTCTGCCCCGGAAGGTGGTTCCGTGGAATTTGCTGACCAGCACTCTCAGGGCACGGGAGCATATTACATGGAGACCTACTTAAAAAAGAAGCGCGTGTACTGAGTTAAGTTTTCTCCTTATATAACCTCTTAAGGTTCTTTGCAGTATCTCTGCGGTTTATCGCTGCCTTAACTACATTCATACTAGCCATATCCTTTAAATACGGGTTTATAATTTCCCAGAAGGAACTGTGTTGTGCAGCAGGCAGAATTGCCAAATAAAAAGTAAGTAGCAATAAGAAAAGACATCAATTGCGGACATTTTCCAATAGAATTAGATTACTTGATCAGTGAGGTAATAACTTATAGTCCACTGCAGAAATTAACGATATTCCTTGTTTTAGGGCAGGGAATAATTTTGACACCATATATAAAAGTTTGAAGCAATAAATGGGAAACGGTCTTGTTTCCTGGGCCTTAGAAGAATGAGTTTCTTACAAGCCAATGTGCATTTCTATTTCCTTTCCCTAGAAGTAATCTCATTCATAGACTTTTAGAACTACAAGTACAAAATGCAGCAATGGTTAAAAAAAAGATGTTCTACATGCAAATTAAATTATTACCCCCACACCAGCCATGTAATATAAAACCCAAACATAGAGGGACAGTGATGTCCAGCTATGGATTATTTACTTTTAATATGCTATTAACCATTTATGCCTTTTGTGAAAAACACAAGGTATTTTAAGAAAAGTAGCAAACCATACTCTGGGGTTAAATTCAGTCCTCCACCTGTTTTTTACAGACTACAAGCTAAGAATGATGTTTACATTTTTAAGTGGCTGGAGGAAAAATGAAAATTTTATGAAATTCAAATGTGTCCTTACCTGAAATTTTATTGGAACACAACAATGCTTATTCACTTACATACTAAGGTTACTTTTGTGCTACAGCGACAGAGACCTGCAGAGTCTAAAATATTTACTCTCTGGCCCTTCATAGAGAAAGTATGCTGATCCAACAGTACTAATTCCCTTTTACTTCACTTAAAGAAAGGCCTTTAGCTTTTGCAGCTGACTTGTAAGTGGCAAGGAACTTAGGTTTCTGTCTCATTCCATGGCATAGACTAGTGACGATCTGATTACGAGAACAGGGCATATCTTGATCATTAAATGCGTTATTTCCACAATATCATATGAAACAGGCATTACTGTCCTTTCTGAAGAGGTCTTATGGAGTGACAGTATTTATAACCATTTTGAGCTAAGGCTTTACCTCACTCTGCTTTGTCTCTTACTCTTTTGTAGTATGTTGGGCTAAAAAACTGTCAGCTGTTTAACCCAATTTACTTCTGAAAAAAATTGTTTAATGCATATAACTTTTGATATCACCATTTCCTGAAGACTTTGGTATTAAATGCATGAGAAACCCTTTGCCATCTAGAAGTGTCTAACTTTGTTCCTTGTTGAGACTGTAACTGATGATACGGAGTTTAGGTGGGGGGGTGTCTCAATGATCCTTATCTTTTTGAACTTAGATCATTAAATATCTTGTAATTTGGGGGGCTTATTTTCTACCATGTTATAAGGTTTCTCTATCCTGTTTTAATTATGAAGTTAAAAATGGGTACATATGTTACTATAATTTGTAAAAAATATTACTTGGTCTAATTTATTGCATATATTAACTTCTTTTGTAAAATGACAGCTAGAAAGCTAACCTAAGATAGTTTCTAAGAAGTATACTACCTATAATAACTGACCCGGATAGGCGTCCGTCAGTTATGACTCAGCAGCTGAATAACGGAGTCTCCATGCTCTGCGCTTCTTCCTATTTTCCTTCTCCGATGCTTAGTCCCACCTCTGTGGCAGTACAGACAGAAGGAAGGGAAGAGGGTGAACTGTAACTCAGAGCTGCAAAGTGAAAGTGGGAAGAGGTTGGAAGAACTGAAAGGTTTGGGATCACGGCACACGTGGATCTGCCCTCTGAACTGGCCCCACTGTCACTGGACACAGCAGATAAGAACAAATCAAGTGTTGTCAGTAATAAGGACCATTACCAACCCTTTCCAAAGTCGATATTGTTATTTTTCTAAGTAAACACACTGTTTGAAATGCTTTGAAAATGGAGTCTGAATATTAAAAGGCGTATGCATGTGACATCTCTAGTATATTTATTTGTATAAAGAGTAAACAAAGTGCATATAGAGTGACCACAGGTTTGACACAGACACACACCTTGGTGATGTAGGGTTATTCAACAAATTTAAATGGCAAGTTTATTGTTGCCATTGAATCAATCCAGAACTCCTTTTCAAGCACAAAAGGTGAAAAATAATGATGTGGTATCAGAGTTTTTCACAAAGATCCTATGGTTCACAGTGAATCAGAGATTAGACATTTTGATTATCCAGCTACCTCCAAGCAACCTGTCTAGTGGATCCTGAACTCCACACTGCTTCTAGCCGGGGCTTTTCTTTCAAGTGTTATGCCACAGGGCAGTGATTTTCAACCAGTGTGCTACAAGAATTTTTAAAACATGCAATACCTGACTAGTCAGGGGCACTGACTTCTTTTCCCTTAGACTGTCAAATAAAAAAATGACAACAGCCAAACACAACACTAGCCGTCCAGTGTGAATGAATGAAAGGATACCTATTTTTCTGGTGTGCCATGAGATGAGAAAAGTTCAAAATCACTACCATAGGGTGATGGTCAAACTAGTAATCCACTTGTATACATGGGTAGTAGGTACTGAGACACTCTACGAACAGTGCCATGGACGTGGTATATATTCTGCCCGGTTGCATACAGTATCCAAAACCAGTGCCGGAATGGCTCGCCCCCAAGTGGTAGTTACAAAAGGCTATACATTGACATTTCGTAAAAGCATGTACAACAGCATCCAGGCTGCCGGACTCAGCCTGGCTCAAGGTACACTGCTGAGGAAAGCACTGCACAGTTCTCAAGAATGAACATCATGCAGCAAAGGACTGATTCCACAGCTGTCCCCCTGGGTACAACCATTTTCTCAAAAAAAAAATAAAGGGGGGGGGGTACCGTTGGTTACCCAAGGGGACAGTAGCTAAGCCACTGCAGAAACAACTCAAAGTTTTTTAAGTCCTACTGGTGACAGGAATACACACATCTTTGTATAGAAACAATAATATACTAACTAATATCTAATATTTCGAGAAGGCCTGCTCTATCACTGTAGAGGTGAAATTTTAGGGCATGTAGAAGTATCGATGCAGTCCATTAAGCTTTATGTGCCAGAAAAACATTTTAAATCAACTGGGAGAAAGCAGTCATCTTGAAATTTTGTTCTGCAAGGCCCCTCTGGCCCGCACTTGCGAGGTGCACGAGCCGGGGACGGGGGCTCGCCGTGCTGAGGAGTGCTTTCTGTGGCATTTGGCACCAGTGACACAAAGAGGAAGTGCTGACACCTGAGAAGCACCCAGCGTGCCTTGTACGTGGATACCTACCCAAGTATCTTTTAGACAGAATACAAAGTTTTTCCATTAAAAATTTTTTAAATGGCTTGGGTATTTGTTGGGGAAGAGGACTAGATACATAGTGGGATTTAAATGTTACTCATGCTTATTTTAAAAGTGCTTCAAATCCTTCAATAAGGTTCTGAAAGGTTGTCCGATTAGATGGTTGGAATTCCCAGCATTTTCTCATAAGCTGATAAACCTGTAAAAAGAAAAACCAACAGTAAAAAAATTATACACACTTCAAGGGTAAAAAATTTTTGGACATGTAAATGACTTTCCTTACTAAGTAAAACTAGATAACAAGAGTATTTGAATGCTGTAAAATACAGAAAATGCCACAACTACAGTTCATAATATTTTAACATTTAAGAAGCTGATGGGTTAAATGACCTTTAAGGAAAAAACAACCCTAGATCATTAATTACCATGAGCCAATTTAAGGGTGAAGTTATAGCTCAATTTAGACTCTGTGACTAAGGTCTACTGAATAGTATGATTTAGTCTTAAAGGCTCAATTCGCTTTAGAATACAGAACATTATAAATGCTATTAATAAGTGAGACCAATTTCTACACAAAATTCACTTGTCACACTAAGGCTACACCAAAATATGGGGTGCTTTCAGAGGTGCGCCTATTTCTGGAGGAAGCCTTGCTGTGAACATGATTCGTGGCTGTCCTTTGGGCCCAAGATCTTACCTGAAATGCGGCTTCAGAAAACAATTTTAAAGGAGTTTTCTACTCCTTGCTCTCCCCACCCCTGTCCCTTGCTGGATAACTCAAGCTGTGAAAACATTAGGAAAATTGAGTTTTATAACTGTGCAGTGACCATAAATACCTCATCTGGACAGTTAGGTGGGCAAGGCAAACGTTTTCCTTCTTTTAATGTATTCACAAGTCTTGTTACTGTCATCTGGCCGTGAGTGGGGCCTATCATTTTCAGGAACAACTATGTAAAACAAAACAAACAGATTACAGTGAAATTTCTAGAATTAACTGGAAATTAAAATAACAATAAAAAGGCTTGTCTACCCCTGGCCGGTTTGGTCCAGCGGTTAGAGCATCACCTGCAGACCAAAGAGTTGCAGGTTCGCTTCTGGCCAAGGGCATGTACTTCGGTTGTGGTTTGTCCCCTCCCGCCCCCTTTCCACTCTATCCAACGATAAGTGGAGAAAATATCCTCAGGTGAGGATTTTTTTTAAAAAAAAAAGGCTTTTCTCCTTAGTAAGTTGAAATGAAAATCCAAAATCCTTATTAGCTCTCAGAGATCAGTCTGCAGTCTCTCGGACTCAACCAGCTACTCCCCCTGGCTGTGTAGCCTTCCGGTGAGAATGAACTCGTTGAAGAACACACAAGGCTCCGACAAGGTCCCCCCTAGTGCTCCTTCACAGTCGACTCCTGAAAGTCGGGCCTTCTTAGAGAACACGGGGCTCCTTGGGAGAGCAGGACTTGAGGGAGCCACCAATAAGTGTCAACGAGCAAGCACCTTCCCTTTCCCATTGAAAAACACTAACTGGATTCCATTTAAGAACAAAATTTACAAAGCAGAGGGATGGACACATTTCAAGTGGGTGCCAGGCTCAAACAAAGAGACAAGTACAACTTACGGCCATGGGGCTGGAATCGGAATCACAGTAAGTCAGCAGCTCATGCAGAGTCACTCCGAAAGACCAGACGTCAGAGGCGATATAAAATTTACACTGAATCAGACACTCTGGAGCATACCTAAAAGAAAGGAGAACATGAAACTGCATTTCCTTGGGAGGATATGCCAACAAATAAATACCTTACAAAGTAAGAAAAATCACCTCTTTGGTGCACATTCTAAGCCACATAAAGTATAGTAACCACACAGATGCTGCTTTCAGTATGGTACATATTTGCTCCAAAACAACAGTAAGATGAGCCTGAGCTTGGGAGGAGGGAGGCATAGGATGACAGGCCCGCAAGCTCAGACGAGTCAGCAGACATCACTGCCCAGTCCTCTTTCCAGGGTCAGTTGTTGGATGAGTGATACCCAACTGCCGAAGCCAGAAATCGAGGCATCCCCATATTCGATTCCCTAAATACTTCTCAAACCCGCTCACCTCTCTTAACCACTGTCGCTGTCCTAGTTCACACCATCACTGGCTCTGATCTCCTCCCCTCCGTTCCACAGTGCCCTTTTTAAAACCACAGTCCCCGCCCTACAACCCCCAGCGGCATCCCAAAGCTCTGGGGATGGTCTCCTGCTCCGCCTCGGCCACAGCTAGCGGATGTCAGTTCCTGAGACAGCCACTGGCCTTGCCTCCTCCTAACCATCTTTACAAACCCCCACAAATCTTTCAGGGTTTTATAGTCAGGACTTCCAGAAAACCAAGCCTGAAACCCCCCCATACTTATGATACCATGAAATTGGCTGCCTCGGCCATTAAACTCTAACCTCAGTCTGCTTGTTAGTGTCTTGATACATATTTGTTTAATGAATGAAAGTTTAGCCTCCATGGTGGGGAGAGATCTAGGTTTGCGTCTATGTAGGATGTGCCTCCCAGGTGCTCATTAGTTTTAGGGGGGTGGGTAGGGCGTGGAGTGGACACTTGGCATCTTCTCTCCTGGACAGTGTTCCAGGCTGATGGGAGTGGAAAACAGGGCACTCTGGGGATTCATAAGAAGATGGCCACATTTCCCTGCTCTGTCCAGGATCTCCTTAAACCTGCTCCATCCCTACTCCATCACCTCCTTCCTGCCCCCTTCTGCTGCCTGCCCTCCAGGCCGCCTCTGCACAGATGCCTACTCCAACTGCTAACAGTTCTAAGAGCCATGTCAAGATGAGCGCCCTCTCCTGGGAGCTGGAGATGCGGAGCTGCTGGGGTGGACTGCTCTATTCCTTAGAAGATGCTGTCACACGAAGCTCAGGCATTTCTCTGTGGGTCACTTTCAGCAAAAGAGCCTAAAAGCTGTTTCTTTCTTTCTTTTTTTAATCCTCACCTGAGGACATTTTTGCATGTATCTTCAGATGGGGGGGGGGGGGGAGAGAAACATCAATGTGAAAGAGACACATCGAGTGGTTGCCACCCACACGACCCCAACTGGAGCCAGGGACAAACTGCAACTGAGGTACATGTCCTTAGTGGGAATTGAACCCGGGCCCGGTCTGTGGGCCAACGCTCTAACCGCTGAGACAAACCGGCCAGTGCTAAAAATTGTTTCTTGAAGAGAAAGATCGATCAATTCCAAATGTTCTGTCTTTTCTAACCCCAACTCAGATAAGAGGAACGAGAGGCATTAACAAAGCTAGAGGTCTATCCAAGCAGCAGAAACCCGATGAAACATTTATGAAATCAAACTCAGTTACCAGAACACAGGGCTGTCCCGGTCATCCTTGACTGTGTAGTACTCCTTGTCGGTTTCAATTGCTTTCGTTAAACCGAAGTCTCCAATTTTCACTTGGTGCTCACTCTCAACAAGGACATTCCTTGCTGCTAAGTCCCGGTGAACATATTGTCGTGAACCCAAATAGTCCATCCCCTGAGGGAGAGAAGTAAAGGCAGAGTGCATTGCTGAAGGTCAGGCCAGACTGTATTTTGTATCTATCACATCATAGCAAAAATCATACAATGTCATTTCATTTGTATATCACGGATGTTTTTGTTTTTGTTTTCACTTTATGCAAAAATAGTAAGACCAATCTGATTCAAAGAGAACACACATTAAAACAGCTATATTTAACCAATCAGTTCAGTTTCTTTACTTTATTGATGTGAGAGAAGAGAGAGGAAGTGAGAGGGGGAGAGAGAGAGAACATCAATTGGCCGCCTCCTGCATGTCCCCCACTGGGGATTGGGCCCACAACCTGGGCATGTGCCCTGACCAGGAATCGAACTGGTTACCTCTTGGTACATGGGTCAACGCTGAACCACTGAGCCACACCAGCCAGGACAGTTCAGTTTCTTAGAAGCTAATTGTTCATCCAAATCATGTAGAGTAAAATAAACTCAGTACAACTATCAAATTGTACTGAGTCTAATTACCCAGGCTGAGTGCCTCATTTTTCAATCCTTAACATGCTTTTTTTTTTTTACCTTGCAAATCTGAACAGCATATTTTAACTGTTGTTTGAGGTTAATTTTGTTCTTATTCTTTGGAAGATATTCCTTAAGGCTTCCCGAAGGCAGAAATTCCATGATGAGCTTAATACCATTTCCTCCTGTATATATAAAAAAAAGCAGTGCGAGGTTACCAGGGAAGGAATGGTGGGAGAATTAAGGGCACAGGATCCGGAGACATGGGATCTGAACTGATTTCAGCATTACCTCGGAATCACAGGCAAGTCACTCACACTCTGAAGCCCCACAGCCCCTGGACCCTCAGCAGTGGCCAAGGATAGTAACACTCGTGTACTTGCCCCAGACATCAGCGTTCACTGAGATAATATAGAGTACACTGCAAACCACTAGCAGATAATTTTTATAAAACTGAGCCACACGGGGGATTGGGGGTGGGAAGAGATTAACCAAACATGCAAATATGCATAGTCCACAGACGCAGACATAGTGCAGTGAAGGCCAGGGGCGAGTGGGAGCTGGGTGGAGGGGGGAGTGGCCAAGGGAGGGGAAACGGGATATCTGCAATACCCTCAACAATAAAAATAATAAATAAAAATGCTATTGGCAATTAAGAATTTTTCCTCAGTGTCTCTACTCTTAATCACTAGAATTAAAAAAATATATGTGTGTGTGTGTGTATATGTATATATACGTGTATGTGTGTGTGTGTGTATGTATATATATATATGTATCCACATAATTTCTCTACCAATTTTAAAGTATAATACAGGAGTCTTGTACTGGCTTGCAAACAGATACACTTATTAGTAAACACTATTTGCCACCATGATTTAGACAACTAGAAAACAAAATATCCTGGCTAGTGCTGGATCAGAAGACTAAGGAGAGGGGAGGGGTGGGTGTCAGTTTCATATGGACTATGTGCCCCGAGTGCCCACTTCTGGACAGGTAAAGATCAATCCCCGTGTGGGTGAACAGCCTGGAAAGACCATGATGGTTTGGAGACAGGCTGAGCAGCTTCCCTAGTGCAAACAACTTCGAAGCCTTAGAGCTCGTGGGGGCCATCAGCCAGCACACGTTGAGGGTGGCCCAGATAAAGCCGAGGTGGCCCCGGCCTTGATGACCCCAGATAGTCACTTAGTCTTTAAACCAATCCTACTTTGCACAGCGTACCATCTTCTGTGCAGATGCCTTTGTACTTGACAATGTTCTCATGATACAGGTTCCTTAAGATTTCAATCTCCTTCTTCAGATCAGCAATGTGGTTACCTCCACTCTCAGGCTTCAGGGATTTGACAGCCACCTGCTCCCCTGTATTGTCCCCTTCAGGGTCATACCTGCAGAGCTCCACCTTTCCAAAGTGACCCTAGAGGGAAAGATGCACGTATTGATGAGAGAAGCCCAGCCTGGGCCGTCAGGAACATGCCTGCAAGTCAAGAACTCCCCACGGGGAAGGGTATCTCATCAACAAATGGTGCTGGAGAACTGGGGAAACAGATGTAGAATAAAATTGGACTCCTACTTCACACCACTCACAAAAATCAACTCAACATGGATCAAAGACTTAAACATGAGACCTGATACCATAAACTCCTAGAAGGAAACACAGAAAAACAGCTCATTGATACTGGTACTGGAAATGACTTTTTTGTACATGACACCAAAAGCCCAAACAACAAAAGACAAAAAATCAACAAATGAGACTACCTCAAACTTAAAAGCTTCTGCACAGTAAAAGAAACAATTAACAAAATGAAAAGGCAACCTATAGAATGGGAAAAACTTTTTGCAAACCATATAATGGATAAGGGTTTAATATCCAAAATATATAAAGAACTTAAGTTAATTAAAAAAATCAAACAACTTAATAAAAAATGGGTAGAAGAAATAAATAGACATTTTCCAAAAAGGACATCAAAATGGCTAACAGGCACACAACAAAATGTTTAATGTCACAGGAGATGCACATAAAACCCACGACGAGCTATCATTTCACATCAGTTAGAATGGCTGTCATCAAGGAAATGAAACAATGGGTGCTGATGAGGGTGTGAGAGGAGCCTTTACACACTTGGTAAGAATGGTCATTTGTCCAACTACTATGGAAAACAATACGGAGGCTCCTCAAAAAATTAAAAATAGATCTGTACGATCCAGCAATTCCACTCCTGGGAGTATGCCCAAAGGAAATTAAAGGAGTTCAACAAGCTATCTGCACCCCATGTTTATCACAGCACTATTCACAATAGCCAAGATATAGGAAGAAAACAAATGCCCATCAATGGATGAACGAGTAAAAAAGATGTAATAGAAATATACAATGGAACAGTATTCAGCCATGAGAAAGGATGATATCCTTCCATTTGCAATAACATAAATGGACCTTCAGCACATTATACTAAGCAAGGTAAGTCAGATTAGAGAAAGATAAATTAATAATCTAAAAAAGAGTCAAACCTGTTTAAAAAAACAACATAGTAACACAGTAGTTACCAGGGGATGGGTGGTGGGGAGGTTTGATGGTGTTTAGAGTACAAACTTGTACCAAGTACAAAAGTAGCCACAGAGATTTAATGTACAGTATATTGAACATAGAGAATACTGTTCAATACGTATGTAACGTGATAAACATCATTACACAGGCAGCCATGCTATAATACATAAATGTATCAAAGTAGCACACTATATAGCTTAAATTTATACAAGGTTGCATGTGAAGTTTTTCCAATTAAAAAAACGATGCGTCTTGCTCCCTGTGCTATTCCCCTGAAGGTCAGGGGTGACGAGCGTGGCCTGACCTTGCAGTAGCCGCCTCTTGCTGGCTTCTACCCCATCACCACAGCCGCTTCCTCACTGCCATCCCCTCTATTACTGAGCTGAGACAAGGCAAGTATCAGGTGACTAGTGAATCAACACATCAATGCGATTTCCATGAAAATGTAACCCATAGGAAATGAAGGTTATTTTGGCCAGGTGGGACACCTGTAGAGTTCCTGGACAGCCCTGGGCCCACCTTACAGGAGAGGCACCATGGGGTAGCTGCAGAGAGCACTATGAGGAGTCTAGAGAAGATGGGGATTAGATCCCAGCTAAGCCACCTAACAGTGATGCTGGCCCAGTCATCAAATCTTTTGAGCTGGTCTGGAGGTGCTCAATGTGTAATACACCCTCAGGGACACTGTGCTTATAAAATGCCCAGCACATAGCCTGGCACACAACAGAGACTCAAGGAGGACATAGCCTTGTTTACTTAAATGAACTACAGAAAAATCTGTATAAAGGCACACATCCCAGTATCTTCTGTATCCCATGAACAGTTAGGAAACCCCCACCAAGGTCCAAAGGAAAGCTGACATGGCATTCTGTGTAGTAAATCCATCCCTCGCTTAAGCAGCCTCTAGGACACATGCCCAGAAGTCAGAGACAGATTTCTCTATTCCCACATCTACACCGATGCCCAACATTGCATCCTTTCCATTCCCTTCTGTCCCTTGGAGCATGTCCTGTGTCCATATACAGCCACATGGGTGTGCTGTCACTTTGAGTGACATCATCCCTTGTGATACAAGCAGCCCAAAGAAAATGCAGTAAGATGTGTTCCCTTATAAACTTTCACCCGAAATAAGAAAGAATGAAGAGCAGCTGTAAATGCAGACAGAGGTGATGTGGTCAGCAGGGAACTAGGGTGTCACTTGCCTCTCCCAAGTCACGGATCCTCTTTAAGAACCGCTTTTCAAAATGTGTGGGATCCACTTCAGTTGCTGGTTTTTTTTCTGAAACAATGTCTGGATCTAAGGGAGGAAAAAAGAAAACATGAACAAGACACAGCCACTCCCAGGCTCCGTGGTTATCCCCGCTCCCCGCTCCCCCACCAGCTCTCCAGGGCAGTGTCTTACTCTGCTCTTCCAGCTTATTGATGTCTCTCATGATGGCGCGGAAAAAGGGTCTCTGATTGGGGTCATAGTTCATGCAGCGCGTCATAAGGTCAGCCAGCTCCTTACAAGACGGTGTCACTGGTCTGCACCGGCTTTCGTAGAATCTTTCTTTCTGCAAAGAGAAGGACCACATGGAAGAAACCAAAGGAACCACCACACACCTTTTAGCCTCAGGTCAGGAGGAGTGACCAATCCTTAATCTCCAACAGCTCTGCTTCAAGATAGATTTCATAAACATGTGTGTTACTGTCTTATCCTAGCTTGGGGCAATCTCTAATACGAAAATAATCAGAAACCAAACAAGCCACATTCCAGTAAAGTTATGCAACCTTTCTGGAATACAGTTTGGCAATATGTGTAAAAATCTCCAGATTCCTAAAACCCTCTGATTCATTAGTTCTTATTATTGTATGACAGAAATAAAGCAGATATAAACAAAGATTTCTATATCAAGGTATTCCCTGGAGAATTCGTTTGAAAACAACCCAAATATCAGATATAAAATTAGGTAAGTACATTAGAGTTTAACAGAGCAATGAGCTCTTACATTAAATTTGTAAAAATTGTAAAACTTATCTAATCACATAGGAAAGTACTCGATATTAAATGAAGATACCGCACATGTAACCCGACCTGGCGCAGGCCATTGTGCTTGAAAAGGAGATAGGCAGACGGGAAGACAGTGTGCCACGGTGTTACAGTGACCAGCGGCGAGAGGAATATGGTGACTGCTATTTTCTTTAAGTTTTCTGTATTTTTCAAATTTTCTTCAACTCTTTATTACTTTAAAATTCAGAAACAAATAATTGATGCCACTTAAAAAAAAAAACTAAGTAAAATTACTGCACTCGTTTCTGTCTGTAGCTGAATCCCAAGGGTACTAGTTCCTCTTCTGGGGCCCCTGAGGGTGAGGAGGCGAGAGTTGGGGTCCCCGGAGGGGATCAGGAGGAGGGCCTGGGTTGAGGAGCTGAGAGCTGCCCTCATGCTGTGTCACACCCCTCCCTGCTCCAGTTCGGCCCAACCCAGCCAAGGAACTTGGGAGGAGAGAGGGAGGCTTCTTTTATCAAAGCGCATGCCCTTCCTTCCACCATCCCTATATCCCGCTCAGCCCCAGCTACGCAGCAGGTGCTCACTAAATACTGACAACGAAGAGTATGCTGTTTTATTTCCAAGAAAGTTCAAAATAAAATGACCTTCCCGAAAGCCTAGGCTGCAAATCCCAGAGAGATGTATAAATCTGATGGTTTCCCTACTGGTTTTAGCTTAACTCCATTCCCAAGTCCTGCACCACCTTTACCTGGCAGAAGGTCAGCGGGCTCCCTCTTCAACAATCTCCCGCATACACACCCTCCACTCTGCGTCCTCACTGCCACTCCTGCTTTAGCCAGGAGCAGAGGCCCTGCTGGTCTTGCCTCAGCTGTCCATTCCAGCCGCTGTGTCCAGATGAACTGCCCCAAGCCGACCTCCAACCAGGTCACTCCTCACCCAAACCCTTCAACGCCTCACGTGACTTCCCCGCCCCCCAAGTAAAATTTCTGCAGTTTGGGGCTTTTTACAATCTCACCACAGGTATCATTCCAACCTTGTCAACCCCTAAACACACAGGCATGTTTCGATAATCACTGGGTCGGGGTCAGTGCTCCTTTATCCGTTAGGAGTTAAGGGTCTCCACTCTTTCCACTAGTAAGCATGAGAGGTTCAAGTCTCGACTGTTTCACATTCTAGCTGGGGAACCCAGGGGAGTGTCTTAGGCTACCTGCCTCGAAGCTACCCGACCTATACCCTACACAATGAGGGCAACGACCCTGTCCTACCTAAACGCAGGACTCATAGTGACACTTCGAGATATTATTTATGGAGCCTTATCATGGCTATTTTAGCCTGGCTCTCCTACCACGTCCTCAAGAGAAGGCAAGGACTGTGTCTATTTTAGTGTGAGTCCCCAGCTTCAACGCAGGAAAATGCCTGATACACAGAAGGAACTCCACAGACACCTGTGTTAACACTTTGCTGATGATCGGGCACTTCCAGTCTGATAAACATACTGCAGTGACCTCCTGAGCACGCGCTGTGTGCCAGGCACGCGGCATGCATTACGCAGTCAGTCTTCACAACCCTGCAAAGTGGGTCTATGTAACACCACTGGACAGGCGCTGACACTGACGCCCAGGGAAGTAAAGTTACAGCTGCGAGGTCGCACAGCCAATAAGCCTATGGAGGAGACACGAACCTGGGCCCATCTCTTCCCACAATATGAGGCTTCTTCCAGTTAGCTCCTAACACACCCACGAGCACCCAAGGAGCCCTCCCTCAGCTCACCCCCGGGAAACAAATGCTCACCTCAATCAGGGTCTTGTCTTTCAGGGGGATCTCGCCGTTGTAGCAGATCTCCCAGAGTGTGGTTCCGAAGCTCCATTTGTCAGCGGCCACGCTCAGGTTCTTGGAGTCCTCAATGCACTCAGGAGCGATCCATGGGATTCGCTCTATGCATTCTGCAGAAAGACAGCAGACGTTTACAGATCAATTTCTGCAGTCACCTAGAGACTAAATCCCTATCATTGCAGCAAGAGCTATGAGCTCTCAAAGAAACTATTTCACACAGTGTTTTCCAAAGAAATCCAGGCCCCTCATTCCTGGCATTTTGGATGCATCAGTCTGAGTCTGGGCCAGCAGACATGTCTGGCATCACAAACTCCCCAGGAGAGCTGTGTGCGGCCAGCCTCCTGAAGCTCTGGCCTCAGAAACAGCAAAGCACCAGGGTGGCGCCAACACCCGAGGAGGGAGAACAGGGGAGTCACGTGGACGAAGGCTTCAGAAAGGGCAGGCGGGGAAGGGGCCAATCTTTATTCAGAGCAGGCCTGGGCTAACCTCGAGTTCTCTGCACAATCACCCTGCCACGTTATACTTACTTTTTGTGGGTTTCTTTCATTTGGAAAACAAGGAAGGGAAGACTGAGGGAAAGAAGTCACGTCTCTCTTATTCCCAGGAACCTCTGTAGCCTGTTCTAGCTTCTAACCAAGGCCAGTGGTCTGCGCAGAAACCTTTGCCATGTCATGGAAACCCCCTCAACCAGCACAGTGCCTCATGGCACAGCCTCCTGGCTCGAGGCAGGAGGGCCGTCCCTGAGCTGGGCATGCACAGTCAGGCCCACTTGCCCTCCTCCGCCTTCTAACCTCATTCTGACATAGGCACGTGTGGACAGGACTCTAGGGTCACATGCCTGCTGTACCTTGCTGCAGGCCCACCTCACAGACCTGTCATCCCACACCTCCCCGAATCACCCTAGCCCCCTCTCACTGGCATCTCTCGTGGGGTGCCCATGCTACTCCACTTGCACGCGAGTCATCGGCGTCCATGCCCCAGACCCCTGCTGAGGACAGGCTCCCTGCAGATGGCTGGCTGCAGATGGCCAGACGACAAGCATCCGACACACACTGAAGGGTGCGGGTGCTTCCCCATTCCCTTCCACAGAGCAAAACCGTGCTCAGAGCTGGAGACTACTGGCCCTCTCCGGCCAGCGGCACGCCCCGGGCACAGTATTCCACGGATGCCTACACGGCAGCAAGAAGGCGGAGCACGACCTGTGCAGCACTGGCTTCAGGGTCGCAGCTCCCAGGTCCCCTCCTTTGGGGCCCACAACTCACAATACCCTCATTCAAAGAGAAAATGCAAGACCACAGCAATCACTCGGGTGCCTCCCCAAGCTGCTCACTAACTGCAGATTTCAGGAGAAACAAGGGGGGACCCAGGAGGCCCAGCGACCTCCCTCTGTGCTAATGCTACACCTTGAACGCAGCTCCTTAATTGCAAGGACCCAACGTACCCCAGGTGAGCTGTTTCTCCTGCTGCAGTCAGCTCCCTAAAGGAGGCAGGGACCAGCCCCGCTCACACTCCGTATCTTCCCCAGCTCCCAGGGCACAGCAGGAGCCCCAGACACCCATTTGCTGACCTGTACTTTTGAAAAGGAGACAGAACCCCAGCCCCAGCCCCCTTCTGCCTGGGGGTGGGGCAGTGAGTGAGGGGGAAGGGTGGGGATGAGAGACACACCTTGTCTGGACAGCACAGTGATGGGGATGCCAGGGTCACTGAGCTTGATGAACGGGCCGCACTCGCTGTCGATACCCTCTCGGGCCAGGAGGAGGTTCTTAGTGCACACGTTTCCGTGGACCAGGTCTTTATCCTCCTGCGAAGCAGAAAGGGTGAGCTCCACAAAACTGCACTGGGCTGCCTGCCTTCCATCCTTCCCACGCTGCCTCCATTCCCACCCCTGACCCTCAGACCAATCGCTCCCTGTTCCCCAGCTACAGCCAGACCGAGACAGCCCAGCTCTCTCACATCACGTGTGCCTTGAGCACACTGTAGAATGTCCCTATTCAGTGAAACAAGGACAACAGTAGAGCATGCCTCACAGGCCTTTGTGAGAATTAAATGAATTAGAACCTGTAAAACACACAACAGCTAAACCATGGTAAGCACTCAATAAATGTGATCTACTACTGGTGCTGACAGTTTCGTTCATTCATTCATTCACTCATTCAGCAAGTACTGCACAATTTCTTCTCTTATCACACACTGCAATTCAGAAATCAGTCCTCCGACATGACACAAGTTCCCTCTAGACAAAACTCATACGTTCAGAGAGCATGGAGCAGCCCCAAATGATCACTGTAACTGAGCACCAGGCACACCAGTGTTTCACCACAGAGCCTGGCCACTCCAGCCTGCTTGGCTTTGCTTGGCTAGCACGTCCTCCCTACCACCCCTACCAGGACACTCTGGTTCCTGGTGGGCCTCCACCAATATCAGATCAGAACATACTTACCAAGTAACTCAGGGCACTGGCCAGCTGTTTAGCGACTTTGAATTTCCATGGTGTGGTGAGGACATCACTTTTCCGGTGCAGGAAGAGATCCAGGGGCCCTCCCTCCACGAACTCTTCCACCATGATATCTACAAGCACAAACAGCCACACCTGGCACCACCTTCCGTCTGGGACAGTACTTCCCCTCATTCCCTACGAGAACTCCCTAGTGGCTGGCACTCAGCTTGGGAGGATGCACACATCCCTGGGAGGGGACAAGGGGCAGAGAGGCTCTGCATTGACAGGCCTGCGTTCCAGCCTGGCCCAGAGGCTACATCGGCGCTCAGGGCAGTCAACTCGGCTTACTCTTCCCAACCTTCCAGGCCCAGAGTTGACAAGAAGTAAATATTCAAGAAATGAGTGGAAAACAAATGGAATTTAGTTCCATGGTCACTATTAACTTAAACATGTGACCTGCTCAGTACCTCAAATTCCTCGATTACAAAATGAAAGGCAAGAAGCCGGGATAACAAGAGGGTATCAGCCCCCCACTGTCTCCACAGCACCCATGCTCCCCAGCCAGGGTCACCCACCCATTCCCAGAAAACCCACTCACTCTCCACGTCCCGGACACAGACACCATAGAGGTACACAATGTGCTTGTGGGAGACCTGCCGCATCATGCTGGCCGCCTCAAAGAAGGCCTGAGAGAGAACAGGACAGAGGAATGTCAACGGTCAGCCATCCCCGGTCCCCTGTTCTGATCCCAAAGGGGCTCTCCTGAGAGGAAAAGTCAGGGGTCCCAGGAAAGCGCAGGACTCATCACCCAGGCCCTGAAAACTGCTCCCCTGGCCCTGACTCCCAGAGGCACTGCTGGCCTTTACCTGACACCAGTCTGGCTGGGACACAATGTTTATCTGGAAAACCTAAAGGACACGGAGCTGGCGGGGTATGGGCTGGCTAACAACTCCCCCACTGGACACTGATGCCCACCACTCTCTCTCCTTGAGGCTTTGAGAAACCACCACGTTCAGCACTACATCAGAATAAAAAGGAAACCAAGGCGGCAGACCCTGTCAAGACTTGGCTTCATCTCTCCAACAGTATGTGGGATCTTAGTAAGTTTTACTCCCCTGGGCTTTAATTTCCCAGACCTTGACGTGACAGCCTGACAGCCCCAGGGGATGTGAGACTATTCAGCTGGAGTCCTGGGGCCACGAGGACCTCTGGGGAGCGACAGGCCCGGGGGGAAGGCCTGCTCAACCCACTTCATCTTCCATCCTCCCTCATTTATCAATGATTACATTTGAAAAAAGGAATTACATAAAAAACAAGTTTGAAAATCATAAATAAGGCCAAAATAAGGGCAAAGGTTCTCCCCTACCCACTGTGCCACACCGGTTCCAGAAATGGGAGTAGGGAGGGATGGGGTACGAGGAAGACACTCGCCAGAGAAATGTCCCTGTGACTGGGGTCTAAGACTTTGAGGATCACTTTTATCTTCTTCTCTTCAGAAGTCCCTTCGTCATCCTTGTAGTCCACCAGGGTCCCAGAGTAGATGTGTGTCCGCGTGCCTCTGCCAAGGTGCTCGCCCTGGGGGAGGAAGCAGGAGGTTGGGGGGACTGATGTCGGGGGCGGCTGGGAGGTCCGAGTCTGGGACTGAGGCCTCAATGGGAACACACACCACCAGCAGGAGGGGGGGCAAAGGCCACGCGCTCCAGGAGTGCGCAGCCTCCAGTCCCTTGTCCTGGGCAGGCCCCCGGGAAACGAAAAGCTCCTGGCCAAACACAGCTGTGGCACTTCCTGGGCCCCAGGAGACATCCTTCCTGCCCACGTCCAGGACAGCATGGAGACAAACGTAATCCTGACCTAACACAAAACTTCCAACACTGCTGCCAGTGACGTCCACACCCAGGCCTCCAGGGTGGACGGAGAGGACCCACGGGGCTCTGCTCACAGGCTGGGGTACACGCACAGGGCTTATCAGACCTGGCCCCACTGTTGAACTCAGGGCGTCCTTTGACCAAGCCAGGGTCTGCCCACTTTCTGTAAACGGGGATAACAATGGTTACCTGCCTCCGAGGGCTGTTGTAAGAGTCAAATGAGCCCTGGCCCAGTTTGGCTCAGAGGTTAGAGTGTTGGCCTGCGGTCCGGAGAGACCCGGGTTCGGTTCCCACTAAGGGCATGTACCTCGGTTACAGTTTGTCCCTGGCCCTGGTTGGATCGTGCAGGTGGTAGCCACTCAATGTGTCCCTTTCACGTCGATGTTTCTCTCTCTCTCCCTCCTACTCTATCTGAACAAAAAAATGGAAATATGTCCTCAGGTGAGGATTAAAAAAAAAAGAGTCAAATGAGCAAACAGGTATAAAGACTCCTGAAACAGACCCTGGGATAGGGTGAGCTCGTCATTCAGCTGGGCCAGTGTGGTTTGTGTGAATGCCCCCCGCCCAGAAGCTCGCCCGTCCTCACCCATGAACTGCCCATCGTCTATCCATATATCCAGGGCATGTGTGCACACTTCAGAATTAGTGATGTAACTTACACGTATCTGCCTGAGCAATCCCACAGAGAAGGTGATGTGAAGACAAAGACAGACTGCAGGGAAATCCCACCCAATGAGTGGTGTGAGGACTAGACGAAATCATCTGTACAAAACCCTTAGCGCACAATGATCTATGTCTAAAGGCCCTCCCAGTTTAAGCTTTAATAATCCCAATTTAAATATTCTTAGTATTTGGAAATCAACATGTGATTCATAAAAGTTAGGCACTATTGAGCCACTGACATTAACCCCAGAAAACTTGTGAACTGAAGTTTTCTTCCTCTAGGACAAATGCAGAAAATGGATGGTGGCTGACTCCTAGGCTGATTCCTGTCTCCCACAGGAATGTACACAGTCGTTAACCAGGTGTATTAATGTGCACAAACAGCACCGTCTGCCACCTGTCACTGCAGATGGCAGTGCGTTGCCCTGTCTCCCATGCCTTGGCAAGGGCCCATAGCTGCTCACTGCAGCTGCGTCTATCATGAGTGATTTATCCAGGTTCTGGGAAGTGTGTTTCCAGAGCATCCCCGCAAAGCCACGTGCTTTCAGAATAATGATTCTTCACTCGAAGCATTACTGATTCCAGTGAACGAGTCTTAGGATTCCACAGCAACCCACAAAGGCCTGCATGTCCCATGGCAGCCTCCTCCATGCTGCTCCCTCTACTGCCTGGAGTCTGCTCTTCATCCTCTGGGACTCTGCCTTGATGCCCCTCCCCCAGGAAGCCGTCCCTGCCCTTCCAAGGTTAGGTGGGATGACTGTATCTGAGAGTCCCATGTCCTGCTCCTTCCCTACTTAGGACTTGTCTCTTGAAGATGTAATTACTTACTGAAGATAAACAAGGTCTGCCCCCCACACACACACACACTGTGAGCCTGCGGAGGGTGGCAATCACGGCTGGCACATGGACATGCTCCATCATGGTTGGCTAAATGAATGCTCGAGGCATGAGGATGGTGGCTATCTGCCCAGCAGCTCCAGGGGAGGGAGGGAAGGAGGGAGGGAGGGGGGGAGGAAGGAAGGAAGGAAGGAAGGAAGGAAGGAAGGAAGGAAGGAAGGAAGGAAGGAAGGAAGGAAGGCCGAAGGAAGGCCGGCCAGTTGGCCCCAAGTACATGTCAAGTTCTAAACAGAAAAGAGGCTGAGTTACTCACTGCTGCTCTGGTGATTTTAATCTCTGGACACAGCTCTGATACCACCAGAGGGACAGAGACAAAAGAGACCCGCCTTCAGTGAAGAACTAACTCAGTCAACTAACAGACCAACTCTATGCCCACCACCCTCTACCAGTCTTCTTAATGGCAGTGAGCCCATGATGGGCCCTGCAACACCTCCAAGGTGTCACAGCCTCTCCCAGGTGGTAAATAGCCCTCTGCAGATTCCTTCTCCTAAAGGCTGCTGGGTTCTGTCTCCTTAGCTTGGCCCGGCACGTGGCTCTGTATAGAGGACTGCAAAGGGGGTGAAGAATAGAAAAGTGGGGTACCCTGGACCTCACATCCTTAGCCAAAGCCCCAGGGCAGCTATGAGGGAAACTGAGCCTACCTAAGGCTGCAGACTCTGGGCTAAAGGCCTGGCAAGGTTGGGGCACTGCTCTGGGACCTGTTTCTCTAGACAGTTATGCTCCTTCAGGCCTCAACTGTGCATCTCCTGCTCCCTCACTGTATGTCTGTTCCCTCAGCTTTGCTCCTGCTAGAAGCATCATCACAAAGTCCATACTGAACTTCAGAAGTACTTTGCCACATAGCGTGCCATGGGCAAAAAGATCCCTGTACCCTAGATAACCCCACAAAGCCCAACTAATCCACTTCTTTCAAGGAGAAAACGTCTCTGGGGAGCATCAGCAAGGCTGGGTAGGACAGCAAGGAGCTGGTTAAACTGCTTCAACTCTAAAAGGCAAGTCTCCGTGTTCCTTTACAACTCGGATTTGCCCAAACCCCGACATCACTCCACCCCAAGTCCCCAGGCTGCTCCGCTGGAGGGAGGAGGACCCAGGCAGGACCCAGGGACCGCAGCAGTGACTCACTTGCATGATGTCTTTCTTGAGGATCCGGTCGAAACTCAGCTGACTCATGGGGTAGACAGGCTGCCACTCCTGGGCCTTCTTAGTAGCCACCAGCAGATTGGAGATTTCTGTGGAAGAGAGTGAGAAGACTCAGTGGAGTAGCAAAGGCCCAAGATTCCAATCAGCCACTGTTGCCGAGCCAGGGGGCTCGCTGCACACATGTGTGCATTCGTTCGTTCAGTCGTTCAACACGTATTCATTGAGTAAATACTTCATTCCTGCCCTCCAGAAGCTCACGGGCTAATAGCAGAGCCAAAGCCAATCAAATGACTGACCAACCAAAAGGAAGGCACCACTGCGCAGCTCCTCTGAGGACAGCAGGCTGCTCTGGGCGGACAGCAGGAAGGCTTCCCCAAGCTGTGTCCTGCTCTGCCTCGGTCTGGGGAGAGTGGGTGCTCAACAGCGCTTGTTAAAGGTGCGAATGAACAGTGGGGGTGTGAGCTGAAGGATATGAGCTGAGGAGCGAGAAAGCAGCAGGACGTTGGGCCTAAGGAGGGATGGGAACGAAGGCAGGATGGTGAAAACACTGGTTGGTGCAGAACAGGACCGGTGACCCAGACAGAGGGTTGTACCTGAACTCTGGGCTCCCACCCTGCCTGACAGCAAGGGGGCACTTACTAAATACTTGCTGACTGTACAGCTTATGAGCAGACCATCGCCCAAATTCAACTGATTCGAACAGCAACTGAACACATTGTAAAATCTGCCAGGCGAGGCCAGCACAGGTCCTCGCTGGGAACTCAAACCCCGAGCCACTGAAGTACAGTGGGGGAGGAGAACGCCTTCCAGATCCCACCAGGGTGAGTGTTCTGGAACCTCTCAAGATTTCACATTCTCATCAGTTAGCTGCTGAGTACCAGGCTGTGACCCGAACGTGGTCTGTCCAGTCCTCACTACTCTGCAAGGCAGGGCTTGTTTTCCTAAGCTAACACCTTCTGACTACTTTCTCCGCGCCAGACAGTCATTAGAGCTTTTGCCACATGAACGCACTGATCCTCATAACAAGCCTTGGAGGTAGAGAATATTTCTACCCACCCCTTGTACAGGCCAGAAAACAGAAATTCTAAGTGAGTGAGCCGTTTGCCCAAGGTCAGGCGGCTAGAAGCCCTAGACCTGGGATTCACCCTGAAGTCAGGGAAGGGCCACCAGAATGGTGTCCCCAGGGAAGGGCTGGGGAAGAGCTGTCAAGGAAATGAGGGGGATGGGAACAGAGGCCACTTATGGGCTTATGACTTGTATGGCTGCTTCAGGAAACATGACTTGGGTCAATGCTGAGCAGGGGAAGCCATTTAACCTCCATAAAGGTGTTTTCTCCTGAGAAAAATGTGGGTCTCAACTGTGCCCCCTGCTGTGGGCCTACTTCAGTGCCTGATGTGTAGTGAATCCCCATCACTGGTAGCCATTGTGACTGTGACCAGTTTTACATCTTAGCGCCACCGTCCCGGTTTATCAGTGGCTCCTCAGCATCACAGCGGAAGGGTGCAGAAACAAGCACCAAGCTGAGCTCCAGATGAGGACGGGAGGATCGGTGTGATGGGGCCAGAGAGTCCTGTGGGCCCCACCTTCTCCCTATGGTCACCCTCAGACGTGGACAGGGGCAGTGGGGCTGGACAACACACAAGCCACTGAGTGGCTGCCTGCTTTTACTTTATTCCATGAGGCCTTTCTTGTGAGGAACCCAGGTTGGGGTCTGGCCATCGGAATCTTGTGGTTAGAAGGGCAGAGACATTGAGGAATTCAAAATGACATTCTCTTTAGTTTTCATGATTTCTCTCATTTGCAGGTGGCAGAGGAAGAGAGAACGCTTCTGAGGGCTCACACACAGGCTCACTCTCTCCGTGACTCTGGTCCCTCCCCAGCACCCCCCCCCCCCACGGAGTCAGGAGCTGGCCCCAGAGTCTCGAGAGGAGGGCTGCACTGGCACCCTTGCAAAGACAGTGTCACTAAAGGTGGAGTCGGAAGCGTGACTCCAGACCCCCACTCTTCCTCTAGCTGCCGAAGTGATCTTGGACAGGTATGATCAGAACACCACCACACTCTGAGTTGTTCTGAAAATTAAATGACTTAAGATATGAAAGACCCTCAAACATGCCTGGCAAATCACAAGCAATACTCACATGATGGTAGCCATTACCATCATCATCATCATCATTGCTACTATTACTGTACCTACCACTGATACCACTAGCTGTGTGGCCTTCGGCAAGTCACTGATCATCTCTGAGCCTCAATTTCCTCATCTTTACAATAGCTACAAAGAATTGTGATGTAGATAAAGAAATGCAAATATGCATCAGTACCGCCTGGGACTAGCAAGTGCCCACCAATATGGCAGCTACTGCCATAACCCTCCCCTTGGCAGCATCAGTGAGGGACAGTTCCAGGCTGGGTGTGGAGCGTCCAGGACGCAGAGTGGCGAGGAGACCAGATCCTGGCTTAGGAATTCACACCAGGGGGAAGAGACAGACACTGAGCATACTCAATGCAGGGTCCTGGAGCCTCAACAGAAAGTCACGACAGGGGTTCAAGTCCATTCCCGTGCCTCTCCCTCCAGAGCTGCTGGCTCCCAGGCCTGGGCTGGTAGTGGTGGCATCCATGCCAGAAACCTCCACGGCTGACGCTGGCAAAGAATCATGTCCCAGCGTCCCGCCTGCCACCACCTGTCTCTTCCTGTGGCTGCTGTTCTCCAAGTCCTCCACCTCACCCTAATTTCTAGGAAACAACTTCTAACATCTGGAAGGAGAGACTATGAGAGTATCCAGGGTCACAGGGCTCTATGGCTTCCCGCACCCTGAGGTCTCATGGCACAGTGGCAGACGAGTTTGTACCTCTGCGGAACATCTGCGAGCGCAAAAACAAAGGCTGCAGCTATTCTGGGAGGCTGGTAGGAAACCCTATCTGGTCGACCAGAACACAAGTCGTTCCTCTTTCGCCAAATTCAGGGACAGCTGGGAGACCAAAAAGTGATTCAAACACCAAGAACCCAGGCCTTTTTGTCCCGGTGTCGCTTCGCTGCCCACCTCCGACAGACGCAGACACGCTTCCTCTCCAGATGAGGGATGTCTCGGATTCCTCACAGCACTTTCAACCCCTTCCTGGGGCCTCAGGATCGACATGCTGCCTGACCCCTACCAAGAGAAGGACCTGACACGTGGTGGGGGAACGTCAAAACACCAATACTCAAGGGATCTGGCAGCTGGGGTGGGCCTGGCATCCAAACCCCTCTTTGACCTTAATTTTCAACACTTCTCCAGGTCTCAGTTTTCTCATACATAAAATGGGGCACCTGACTGGGTGACCCCTAAGCATACTTCCAGTTCTCACATTCTAAGAGCTAATGAATCCACCTGCAGTACATCAGTGACAGGTTCACAGGGCTCAGAAAAGAGCAGCCAAGTTCTTCACCCCCTCCTGTGCACCTTGCTCCCTGACCTTGCCGTGGCTCCCACTCCCTGTAGGATAACAGCTCCCGGTGTGGCATACAAGGCCGCCCACAACCCTAAGGTCTCCCTTTGCACTCTCACCTCCCCTCTAACTTCCCCAAACCCATCCGCGCCGGAACCTGCCCTCAGCCCCTGCCCCGCCTGCCGCCTCGACTGGCCGGCTCCCACTCGCTGCCCAGCAGTGGGCTCAGGAGCCGCTTCCCCCATGCAGCCGTCCAGTCCCTGTGACTCAGGGAGTCTGACCATCATTCTCTGTGAGCCTAGGGTCATTAAAACACCTGTTACACCCTGCAGTGGCAGTTTTCTGTATCAGACATGAAACCCTTGGAGAGTAGGGACTGGGGTTAGGCATTTCTGATTCTTTGCAACTAACATACTTCTTGGTTCGCAGATGTGTCAGGAGCATTTCTCAAGTAAATAAACCACTAGCGGGAATCTCAAGGCACTTTATCTTAACAAAGAAAGCAGCTTCTGCTTAATAATCCTAAACGTGCCCTAATAGGGATGCTGAGACGAAGTGTATGTTTGTTCAATAGAAATTGCTGACACTTGAGGAGTGGGACGTGAGTTGGGGACAGATGTGTAAGAAAACTCAATGAAAAACACTTGGAAACTGTGGGGAGGGGCCACTCCAAAGCAGCAGCAGCATTTTGGCGGGTCTGGGTCTGGGTCTGGGTCTGGGCATGCGTGAGGCGTGGGCAGCACGGGGGGGGGGCGGCGCTGACCTCGGGGCTTGGGCTGGCAGCAGCGCTTCAGGACGAAGCTGATGTTGTCTGTGCGCAGGATCTGCTTCTTCAGATGGCTCATGAGGTCCTCCAGGCTGGGGAAGTTGCGATCCGAGCCGTGCAGGCTATAGCGGCCCTTCTGCACTTCGATCTGAAAGTTCTTGAACAGTTTCTGGCCACCCAGCACCTGTCGTTCAGGACAATGAGCAGAAATAATGTTTTAAAAGAGTCAGGCAACAGGGGGAACAACAGAGAAAGCTGGTGAAGGGTATGCAGAAGCTCACTGCTACCTCTGTAACATTTCTGCATCTAAAATTATTTTAAAATAAAAGTTTATCATAAACCAGGAAGTGAAACAATAAATACATAAGCAATAAAAGGGCTGAGGAGAAGGCGGGAGAGGGAGCTGGCCCTGGCACAGCAGCGCCCCGCGGCCTTTGGCCCCTGCGGTGTGCTGCTCCTGGGAACCCCAGCCTCTCAGGACGGCGGCTCGCTCACGGACACGGTGCATCCAGAAAACTCAGGGAGCACTTCGTGAAGGTTAACAAATACTACTGTGCATGAAATGATAATTCCTATAGCAACCCCCCCACACTGAGTTCTTCCAGGCTTCATGTCTGCGGAGAACCACCCTGGGAGGAGGCGTCAGCTGTCTGCTCGGTTCAGGGCTCCCTGGTGCCAGGGGAGGAAGTACAAGCACAGGCCTTCCTTCGCGGGCACTTCTGGTACAAAGGAAACTATTTCAGTGGTAAAGAATGACAGCCAGAAAGTTCTACTTAAGCTGTAAATTAGGACAAGATATTTAAACTCTTGATGCCTCCGCCTCTGCGACGGGGATAGTATCACTTACCGCGTAGGGCTAGGGTAAGGCTGAAATGAGAACACCTAGGCCGAGTGCTTAGCACAGTGTCTGGTGAGCTGAAACAAACGCAGGAGTAATCGTATCTGTGATGCCAGTTTTCCCAGGTAAGGGGACACCAGGCAGACCCTGTCCCTGAATCACTGACATTCTTGGCACAGGTGGATTCTGCCTGAGGAGGAGGTGGGCTGTGTCATGGACCTATCCAACTTAAACAATATTAAACCTCCTCCAAAGACTAATGAATACAGAGGATGAGCCTCCTGACAAAACAGGCCCGGCAGGTTCTCCGCCACTGCTCCTGAGTCAGCAGTGAGGCCTCGCTTACAGGAAGGCCCCCAGGCAGGCAGTGGCCCCTGGAGGCATTGCCGGGACACCTGGCAGCACTGGGTACCTCCTGCCACGCCCTCTTCCCACTCCTCAGTGCCCAGGCACCCTCTGGTACTTTTCCTTTCTGTGTCTGAGGTCTTCAATATGCCACGGTCCTGCTTCCGTCCCGCAGGCCCCACCCCACCTCAACTCTCCCAGTTTATGTAAACCCAATCAACACTAGTGTATTTATTTGGACTAATTCTACAAAATGTAGTGTCTTTTAAAACAACCCATTTTCTATATTTTGAAAAAATTACACGAACAACAAAAGCATCTGTGGTCTAGCGAGGCCCAGTCAACAATTCTGGCTCTTATCTTAGCCTTCAGGGCTTTCCCACACGATTCCGGGCTTCCAGCTGCACGGAGTCCCTGACAGACACCTCCACTTGTCAAAACGGGGGACAGAATCCGTCTGCTGAAATGTCTGAAGCACCATCTGGGGGAACTGTGTCAGGCCAACTGCCGGGGGGCCTCCTTGGCCCTGACTGAACCAGCGAAGGCCACAGACGCTCACAGCGCTGGGTCTGTGCTGACTTGGCGCTGAGTATAGAATAACCACTCTAAACAATGACACTAAACTCCACGAGTGCTGGTGTGCGCTGGTTTCTGGTCACGGCCCACCTTCCAGAGCCACAGGGACCCCTGCCGTGTGTCCCCTGAAGAAAGAGGGAAGCTCTGGAGTCTGGCTGCTGGGGAGCAGTCTCCTTTTGGAGAGCAAGATGCCCAGGCAGAACAGCCGGGGGTTTCCTGAGACCCAGGCTCTTCTGCCCCATCCCCTACGAGTGGTCCTCTCCACAGCAGCTCCTGGACCAGGCTGCACTGGACACCCTGTGGCCACACGGCACACCCAGCCATTGTCTTGACTGACCTCAGGCTTTTCAAAGCAGGTGACGGTCATGAGGATGTTGTCAAAGTCGGTGCAGCTCCACCGCAGCACATACATCCCCTCCTCGCTTCCTTCTTGCCGCAATTTATTGATGGCATACTCTGTGCTGGAGGGAGAGAGACAGGGAGAAAGAGCTCACCAACCGGAGCACTCTGAACCCTGCGGGACAACCCCGCCTGAGCTGCCACGTCTCACGGCCTCATCACGTTGCCGGTCCTGGGCCCTCGCGTCCTCTCAGATCTGACGTATGAGGCCAGCAGGGAGCTGAGGAGCCCGGGCACAGATCTCTGAATCTCCAAGGTCCGGAAGAGGACTGGGCATGCTGCCCACGGCACTGAGCCCTGTTCAGCCCAGTTTCCCCACACACGCTGTCTCCGGTGCTAGCCAGGAGAGCACCCCCAAGGCCGGTGGCGCGGAGCTGCCCGTGCTGCAGTGGTCGGGTTCCTCCCCACTGTCCCCAGGCAGAACAACTGGGACAGGAGCCTCGGGGAGGCGAACTTTGGGGTTATTCTGTTTATTGCTGTATCCCCAGTAACCAGGGCACCCCTGGGCTCATAGTAGCTGCTCAACAAATGAGTGAATAATTGAATAAAGAAATCAGTGGAGAATAGAAAGCTGTCAGAGGGAACATGCCTATCTTGTACTCCTTTGTATTCCCACGATGATCGGTCCTGGCACACACAGGGCACTGGACAGTTGCTAAATAAATACACGCACGAGGCTGCTACACCCAGGAACGGGGCTCACAAAGCACTGATGAAAGAGGGCTGACGTGGTCAGCGTGTGTCAGACCAACCGCTCCACAGTCTGTGACGCCTTTGCCTTTGCGATGAGGCTCTCTCGGGAGGGGCCCTTTCTCCGCTGAGACCTGGTAAGCTATCGTTCACTCTTCAGAGTTTAATCTGATTTGAATGCTGCCTACTCTGAGAAGGTTTCTCAGGGAATGAGTTTCAGGCCCCCCACAACTCCACCCTTCGAGAACATGAAACACTCAGTCAGTCAGTAAATACTTACTAAATGCTTACAATGTGCCAGGCCCTGCTGTGGGTACTGAGCAAAAGCAGACAGTGGCCTTTATGGGGCTCATATTCTGGATGGTGAAAGTAGGCGGACACATGGACATGGAAGTAAACATGGTATGTCAGGAGGTAAGGAATGTCGTTGAAGAAAAATAACAGAGAGTAAAGGAGCCATGAAGTGTGGGGTGCGGAGGGGGAAGAGGTATTATTTTATAGAAGATGATAGGGAAGACGTCATCGATAAGGTGATATCTGAGTAACACTGGAGGAAGTGGCGGCTGTGTAGGTTCTGGAGGAAGGACACTCCAGGCCAAGGGAGAGACAAGCGCCAGGGCCCCAAAACCTAACTGTGGTTGGGGCATTTGAAGAGCATGCTTCACTGGGATGCTCAGCCCTTGCTCTGCGATTCTCTGAGTCTCCCTCCCCACGGGTCTGTACGCCTCTAGGCCAGGGTTCACCTGTCCACAGGTAACTAGGACAGGGAAGAGGTGGGAGCTGTGCCATGTGCAAGGCAGCTAAAGAGAAGCTTCCCAGACATATTTGGGTCTAGAAGGAGACTGAGAAGAAACCCAGCAGCTCTTTTGCCTGGAGGGCAGTCGTGTGTAAGAGGAAGTGCACGGAATCCCTGTTGCGTCAAGTGACAGAGCTCCAACAAGAGGCAGGAGGCACAGAGGCACATGCCACTCCAGACAGAGTTAGGAGCTGGAACCCGCTGGCTGCCTCATGTCGCACTCAGTTCCCCATCACCAGAGCTTTGTGAGCACAGGCTCCTAGTTCTGAGAAGAGGAGAGAAGATTCCAGCAAGGCCCCTTCCAGCTCTAAGGCTGGGTCGCCCTCAATGTCCCCACGATTTGTCTGACACTTTACCACAAGTGGACTGAGGATCCCATTATTTACTCCTCTGCCTGATGCTGCGACCTGGTCCACGATGTTTGGCACTGCAAGGGATCAGGACATGTAGCACTCTGGGTTATTGTGAAGAGGTGAGGGGCTAACTATGAGCAGACCCAATGAGGGGGAAGAGTGAGGAGCGGCCGCAAGGACTAAGATGAGATGACAGGAAGGCTGATCAATGGACAACAGGGATGGAAAGGGGGCACCAAGTCAGTACTAAAGAACATGCTCAAATGGCCCAACCTAGTCAACCAATGGCACCTCTGTCTGACGAGGCCACTGCCCCCATCACTGACATGGGTTCTTTTCACACCAAAGGCAACTGAAAGGTGATAGACCACCCAGCCAGTGTGGCTCAGTGGATTGAGCCTCCTCCCATGGACTGAGAGGTCCCGGTTCCATTTCCAGACAGGGCACATGCCTGGGTTTCAGGCTCCATCACCGGGGGGGGGGGGGGGGGGGGGCGTGCAGGAGGCAGCTGATCAATGTTTCTATTTCTTTCTCTCTAAAAATCAATAAAAACATTTTTTTGCCCTGGCCGGTTTGGCTCAGCAGTGAGAGCGTTGGCCTGCGGTCCAGAGAGACCCGGGTTCGGTTTCCGCTAAGGGCACGTACCTCGGTTGCAGTTTGTCCCCGGCCCTGGTTGGGTTGTGCGGGTAGCAACCACTCGATGTGTCCCTTTCACGTTGATGTTTCTCTCTCTTTTTCTCCCCCTCCCTCCCACTCTATCTGAACAAAAAAAAACAAAAATAAAAAGGAAAAATGTCCCGGGTGAGGATAAAATAAAATAAAAATCAATAAAAACATTTTTTTAAAAGGTGATAGAACCAACCAGATTGGACCGTGACAGCCATTCTGTATGTTGTGGACGATCAATGGGGGAGCCACGTCGGTGCAGAGGTAATGATGGGCGTCTGCTGTGAGCCGAAAGTAGCCATCTACCAGGGACACAAAGGACAAGGCCTCCTCGTGGGACGAGAGCTTCAGCTCCTGGTGAGAGAGAAGAAATGCCCACAGTTACATCATCTGCCTACCATCCTATGCAGCTGACTCTACAGGGAGGTGCACAGGGAGAAGACATTTAAAACACACTGAGAGTGCATGACCCCAAAGGGAGCCTGCTGCTGTTGATAACTATACCCCTGTGTTTCTATAGGACTTTGACTGTTTGACACTTTCTCAGCTGTTATTTAGAAACTATCGAATGAGGTACAGCATGTTTGGGGGGGTGGGCACCGTGGTAGGCGGAGCTCTGTGAAGAAGCTGCCCCTTGGGTGCAGATGGAAAAGCCAGCCAGAATCAAGGTGGCAGAGGTGTAAAAGTGGAGAGAGGAGGAGCAGAGTATAAGTGGTACCCTGGTCTTGGCACCAAGCAATGACCAACTCAGTAGGCATGATATCTGCTTTACAGGGAAGGAAGCAGGGCACAGATGCTTCATGAGAGGCTGGTGGCAGAGGAAAACAGACCAGTGAAGGGGAAGGGGGCGGATAAAAGCTACAAGACAGGATGGAGGTAACGGGGCCTATCATGGTGAGCTGTGATGCCAAGGAAAGGGTGCTCTGAGGTTGTGAGCCAGGGAGGCCAAGAGAGCAGGGCCCCCACACGGATGGCAATTCAGGAAAGACGCTGTGCTCAAAGTGCTTCCTGTCAGGTGTAACCTGGCATCCATCTGCAGATTCCCAAAGAGCAAATTCAAGATGGTCTGGTTGGGGTGGCCTTTCATCCAGTCATATGACAGAGACCACATAAGCACTTAAGTTCCCTAAGAGAGGACATCTGAATGGAAATGGGAGACATCAGGAGGCGCGGAGAGGAGATAAATCAAGATATGATTTTATAACATGCTAGCATCATGCTTTCCTGAAAGAACAGCTTGAAAGTCCCTTGGCTGTGAAGGGACAGAGCAGTGAAATGAAGAGAAACATCACAGTGCTAACCTGCAGGTTCTGCAGCAAGCTCATCTGGGTTCAAATCTCAGTATCTCCACTTGCTATTATGTTTAAGCATATGTAGTCATCATTCTTATAGGTCAAAAACGGGCAAATATTGGCAATTTCAAATGGTTTAGCCTAATAGCTGTGTGACCATGGATAAGCTACTTAACCTTTGTGTGACTCAGTTTCCTCCTCTGTAAAATGGGGATAATAATATACCCCCTTTATAGCGTCAATATGAAAATTAAACAGTTGACATCTGTAAAGTGTTTAGAATAGGAAGTGCCTGGCATGTAGTAAAAGAAACTATCTCTTCCTGACTTCCTTTTGCTTGCTACACAGCACTGTATCTTGGCACAGTCGCCAGCCCATGTGCTCAGAGTGAGCTCAAACTTAAATGACAGGTGTACCAACAAGGTGCCAGACTTGGCTCTGTCAGCTAGGACAAGGCAGACTCAGAGACTGTACCGCTGGCTGCTGCTCCTCTGCCATGCATCTGCAGGGCTGGCCATGTTGAGAGCCAGATCACAGAGGTGCCAGCCCCGCCCCCCCAGTCTCTGGGCAACAGCATTCCTTGGAAACTGAAGCAGCACAGGTGGAGCGGCCACCCTCCCTCTGACCCCACACACGTTTCTGCACCTCTCCTCTCTCTCAGACTCCCTACTGGAAATGCAGCCCAAGTGCCTGCCTCTGAGGTTCTGGTAAGGACTAAATAAGGCCACGGAGACAGAACGTAACACACAGCCTACTATCTGTAATGTGCTGAAAAAATAACACATTTTTATTTTCTCCTTCCATTTTCCATCTTCCCACTACCATCTATCTGGGTTCATCTACTTCTCCCTGCGCTTTATTTTTTTACTTTGGTTTCCTGATGAAATTCATGTATGTTTATTGTTTTTAAAAGGGGGGAGATAAGAAAATTAAAATCACTCATAATCCCACTAGAAATAACTTAATATTTGATTACTTTCCTAAGATCACATGTAGGTATATACATATCTTTTTAATGTTTTTTTTGAACAAAATCAGTACCATTCTATAGATAGTTTTACATTCTGCTCTTTTCTATTTATAAAGCGCTTTTCCAAATTATTTTAAGAATTCAGCAATTTATATAATATTCTACCTAGGTGAATCATTAATCACCTCATTCTTCTATTATTGTATAATTAGGTTATTTTCAGTATTTTGATACTGTTAATGCTGATGGGATAAACATTCTCATTCACAGATCACTGCCCGCATCTCACTGTTTCTGCAGACAGATCCCTGGGCGCATGAATGGAGGGATATATCAATATTTTCAATACACGCAACAAACTGCTTCCAAAAGGTACACCAAAAACACAAGTTATGCTCTGGCTGGGTGGCTCAGTAAGTTGGAGAATCACCTCATACAACAAAAGGTTGCGGGTTCCATTCCTGGTCAGGGCACAGTCCTAGGTTACAGTTTTGATCCTCAGTCAGGGTACATGAAGGAGGCAACCATCGGATGTTTTTCTCTCTCTCTCTCCCTCCCCCTTCCTCTCACTCTAAAAAAAGTTACCAATAAAAACATCCTTGGGTGAGGATTGAAATAAAACAATTAATCAATTATTTAATATAAAGTTGCCAAAAAAAAAAAAAACAAAAAAACCACAGACAAGTTACTCTACATGTGAAAGGATGACGGTCTGCCCTGGCCGGGTTGCTCAATGGTAGATCATCAGCCTGTGGACCAGAGAGTCTGGTCAAGGGCATGTACCTTGGTTGTGGTTTGGTCCCAGGCCCTGTTTGGGGTCATGTGGGAGGCAACCAATCAATGTATCTCTCTCACATGGATTTTTCTCTTCCCCTCTCTCTCTCTCTCTCTCTCTCTCTCTCTCTCTCTCTCTCTCCCTTCCTCCCTCCCTTTTCCTCCCTTCCCCTCTCCCTCCCACTCTACCTGAAGATGAAGTAAAAAATTATCCTCAGGTGAGGATTAAAAAAAAACGATGACCATCTTCCCAAACCGTATCGCAGGTTCTTTCCCAGCACTGAGCATTCCCTGGAGTGACTACCTTCGCTTTGGGAGCGTACCTGCCTCTCCAGCCCCTTCTCTCCACATGTTGTCAGAGCGACTTCCCTGACACAGACATGTATATTCTGTCAGGGTTCCACTTCCCCTGCCAAACTGGCCTGCCTGTCTTGATTGTGTCCTCAAGTGATACCAAAAGAGGAAGTGAGACTGAGCACCACTTCCTGTCTGACAGTCCCCTGGGTGTGCCTGACACTACAAGGAGGACGGCCATGGTGGCCACAGCCACCAGCCGACAGTCTGCTGAAGCGCAGAGCAGGGTTCCCACTGACCTCACTGCAGAGACCCACCTACAGAGGCCAGGCAGAAGCCCTGGGGGGAAATGAGACTTTCACTGATCTTTTACTTCAGATCCACTAATTCTGTGAATTAAGTTCTGCTGCTGGAATATCTTTGGGAGGGCAGCAGATGCTGAAACAGATACACATTTGCAAAACCGAACAAAGGCACTGGAATGTGGTGTAATAAAAACCAACATCATAACGTCAATGTCAGCAACAGTGGCCAGATTTCTTCTTTGGGACAGGAACTAGAAGCAAGCGCTCGTAACTGTCCTCAAGCAAAGCCTTCCTTCCTCTCACCGCCCGCCCCAACCGAAGAGCTTCTGGTGCTAACTTACCATTTTTTTGTTGTCCTGCTTATTAATGCTGACCACAGACTCCTTTATGACAATGTGAGTGATTTCAGGGAAGTAAGAAAAATTGTTCCATTCTTCTCGGGCTTTGTTTTTCTCCTCATCCTTCTTGTGTTTATGTTCCAGTTTTTTCCGTTTCAATTTATTTTTTTCCTTTTCAACAGGAACAACCTGACAACATGCATAAAAGTGAGAGAGTTGAGTGTGGCTTTCTCATTTTCTGTTGGTAGGTCAGTGCTTCTGGGAAACCAAGGCAGAGCCTTACATCCAAGGAGGAGACAGCAGCCGGCCTGGACTGCAGAGAAACTGGGAGAGGGCACCGTGGGCTTAGGATCGCAGTTTTGGGTCCTATCAGGACGTAACGGATTTTTTTTTGTTGTTGTTTTGTTTTTATCCTCACCCAAGGACATTTTTCCATTTTTTGTACAGATAGAGTGGGAGGGAGAGAGAGGAAGAGAGAGAGAGAGAAACATCGACGTGAAGGGACACATCGAGTGGCTGCCACCCGCACAACCAACCAGGGCCGGGGACAAACTGCAACCGAAGTACATGCCCTTAGCGGGAACCGAACCCGGGTCTCTCCGGACCGCAGGCCGACACTCTGACCGCTGAGCCAAACCGGCCAGGGCAAGGACGTAACGGATTTTGACACACGGAGGAGACCTTAATGAACACAATGACTAAGCTCTGCATAATCCATGATGTACAAGCAAGCCCAGCAAGGCCACTAACTGCACTCGACGTGCACCTACCATCAGGTCCTCATTTCTGGATTTATGTGTCTCAGCACAGGCAGAGAGCATGCTCTTCCTGCGTATGACTGGACAGAGCGTGGGCTTTCTCACCTGAGAATCTATCACTGACTCATCAGCTTTATCACAATATTCAAGAAGGTACAAATCCCATGTATGAATAATCTAGGGGTCATACATGTCTGCACAACTTTAAATACTTTATGTAGCATGAGTCTTGGAGACTAAATATCTGGGTTAATACTCTGTTTTGCCAGTTACTTAACTAGCTGGTTCATCTCTTTGCGCCTCCATCTCCCTATTCCTAAAGCAGAGGTCTCACACCTACAAGGTCCTCTGAGGGTCAGGTAACTTCTTAGTAACATATATCTACTACAGAGAAAGGATTCAGGCCCTGGCTGGTTTGGGCTCAGTGGTTAAGAGCGTCGGCCCACAGACCGATGAGTCGCAGGTTCGATTCCAGCCGAGGGCATGTACCTTGGTTGTGGTTTGTCCCAGGCCCTGGTCAGGCCATGCAGGAGACAACCAGTCGATGTGGCTCTATCGCATCGATGTTTCTCTCTCTCTCTCTCTCTCTCTATCTGATGATAAATGGAAAAGTATCCTTGGGTGAGGAATAAAAAATATTTTTTAAATAATAAAAAGAAAGCACTCAGCAAGTGTTAGGCATTATAACTTAAACAAGACAAGAAAACAGGAGAGAAGACGTGGACGTGGGGGGAGGGAAGAGATAAACCACAGAACTTGTACACGTGAATGCATAAACAAGGATATAGACAATAATGCTGGGGGGGGGGGTGGAATTGGGAGGAGGGTGTCAATGGGGGAGAAAAGGAGAAACATCTGTAATAAAAATAAATAAGTAAAAATAAATAAATTAATAAAATAATAATGATGATGAAAATGGCCACAATAACTAACTGAACATTTTATGCCTGGCTCTGTGCTAAAAGACATTTAGTTCTCTCAACAACCCTATCAGGTAGATACATTTTAATGATAAGTATGTGGCTGATATAGGTGAAGTAGCCCTCCCAAGGCCATGTAACCACAAATAGTGAAGCTAGGATTTGTACCAGGTCTAATTAGGGTTAAAACCCATGCTTTGAAACCACTCTGCTCTATTGCTTCACTGAACAAACACTTCAAAAAGAAGCTTCAGATTAAAAAATTAATTATCCTATTTCACGGAGCCAGAGGCCTAAGTTCAATTTTTGGCACATTCGTTAGTTATGACCTTGGACGAGTTTCTTAACTTCTCTGTGCCTCTGTATGTTCTTCCATAAAACAAGTAATGGCAATATTCCCCTTACAGTTTTCTTTTTAAGGAATAAATTAGTTAATACACGTAAAATGCTTTGAAAAGTACTTTTGGTACATGGTAAAGAAATAGCTGCTGTTATTGTATTTCTCTATTTCACTACAAAACTCAATAAATGTTTATTTAGATCTACTGCTACATGGACATGATAAAAGATGACAGCCCTGGCCGGTGCAGCTCAGTTGGTTGGGTGTCATCCCATGAACCAAAACGGTTGCAGGTTCGATTCCCAGTCAGGGCGCAAGCCTGGGTTGCTGCCTTGATTCCCAGCAGGGGGCATGCAGGATATATCACTCTCACATGGATGTTTTTTTCTCTCTCTCTCTCCCTCTAAAATTTAACTTTAAAATCTTTTTTAAAAAGATGAATGATACACTGTCTCCAGCCTAAACAAACAGCGGACAGAGATGATGGGCATGCAAACAGGTGATTACAATGGGATAAACAGGACACACCATGTGAAACAGGAGGCTCTGTTTTGATCAGACACCTATTCCCACTTACATGTGGTTTCTGCCTCCACTGGATTCCAAGATTCCCAGTCACCATCACTTCATAGTAGAGAACATTTCCACTGTCTTTCGGATGAAACCAATTCATCTCATTCTCTGATGAAATCATTAACATGGAAGTCTCAAATATTTCAGCACCATAATGTTTTGTCAAAGTTTCCAAGGTAGCCAGGTATTTCACCTTCAGGTCATGTGTGGACACGCTGCTGTCACAAATGGTCTTGTTGTTAAACTCCTTTAGGAAATCCTTGAAGACATTATTTATCCGCATCCTGGTAAGAGGGTTCCTCTGTCTGATGGACTTATTCAACGTTTCTGGAATATAACGCTTGTAGCTAAAAGAAAGAAAAGAAATGTATCTTGTTTATTTTTTGCACAAATAAGTAAGCAGAGAATAGTTTAGAAATAAACCCAAGTCTATAAATCTTCCTCCTACTTGATGCCAGATGAGAAAGAAGGATCTACTCCTAGACCATGAGATGAGTAAGCACCCAGGAGGATAATCATTAGCAGGTGGAGGTCAATAGGAATTGAAAGAGAATAGAATAGAATAGAATAGAATAGAATAGAATAGAATAGAATAGAATAGAATAGAATAGAATAGAATAGAATAGAATAGAATAGAATAGAACATGTTCCACAGATTTTAATGAGATGGGACTTCCTATGAGTATCACCAAATTTTATGGATCACAAAGGTAGGCAGCAGAATGGACTTAGCAATGTTTTTGCTTGCTAGCATCAATGCTCTTGTGCATGTTGGTACTCACATAAACATACTGATTCTAAGATTCAGCATCAGTTCCAAAGTGGCTTGAAAGGTGTCAAGAGTGAGTATAGGTGCTTTGTATGTTCTACTTACATCTCTGCTTTATAATTTATCTATAAGGATCCCATATTGTTTTTATTCAAAATGAAAAAGAAAAGTTAATTAAATACAAAAGACTTAGTGTTTACCATGGGAAAATGTCCCAACAAGTAAACCAAAAGATTATTATATCCATCTGGGGGTCAAGGGAAAAGTATCTATGACTAACAGAATCTCAAACTGCTAGGACAGAAGGCCAGGTTTAAAGAAAGAGTAGCCATGAAAGAAATAACTAGTCCACCAGGGGCCAAGCACGTGGGAAGACCGGTGCACCTGTTACCCCAGGTCTGAGACAGCATCTGGCACAGGGTAATCCCTGCTGCGTGAATGGTTACAAAATAGTGGGCATTATTCAGCTGGGAGTTTATACCCAACACATATCATAATTTTTTAGGTTAGTGTAATGGAGGGGAAAATCAGAGGAGAGTTGTTACCCTCTTGAAAAACTAAAGAGGAGATGCCCAGGGCAAAAGAAACAGAAAAAAAGAGAAAGTAGCAGTACAGCACGTATCTAATCAGCCCCTGCATTACTGAGGAGTCACTGGTGATCTGCTCCAGACCCTGGTCAAGGGCAGAGGAGACACAAGAAGTAAACTTATGAGAAAATGCATGCCACCTATCACAAATATTGCAGCTACATATAATTTCTTCTTGAAAATGAGATTGTCTTCATTTATAACAATCACAATAGCTCATTGGAAAAAAAGATTACATTTCATAGATATGTGGAAATTACACACACTGAATAATTCTTCACAAACACTTGATCGCAACTGATGTTTTTCAGTAAATACAATTTGCTTTAGGTGACAGTTGATCGTCCTTCACATCAGAATTAACAGCTCTCTAGTGAACTCTAGTTCAGGCTAGGGATGGCAGTAGCTACCTGTACAGCTATACTGAGAAGAATCTGAATATGGACCCAGCACAAAAGGACAAAGTGCAGTAATAGATGGCAATTCCCACCACGGGCAGACAGGGCATGTGGGTCACTAATTTGATTGGCATCCCCAGCCCAGAACATCCTTCACCCTAGTACACATTTCTGAGGTCTCCGGCCAACATTTAAAATCTGGACACAATCATAATTGTGCCACCTTTTACAGATAGTCTAAAAACGTTTGTACTCTGCAGAGAGGAGGGGTCAGCCGAAAGCTGGCAGTGGTTAAACTGAGATGTTCGAGAACACACAAAAATAACACCATTCCCACAACCAATTCTTTAGCCAGAAGAAAGGCTTACCTGATGTCCTTGGGGAGTTCTGGCAACGGCATCTTCTTCGTCATGGCATAGTGGGAGATGGCCAGGACAGCCATCCCCAGACACTCATTCTCGATATCATGCCCATCCTGCTCAGTCTTGGGGTCTCGAATGGGAGCCAGACATTTGACCAAATCATACTGTCCCTTTAGAGCAGAGGTAAGAAGAAATTAACCACCACTTAAGTTTCAAGCATCCACTCATGTGTATGATTTTGAGAGGAAAGTTCTCCCCACAGGGAGGTGCTACCCAGAAGAGCAATACAGCAATGAGGCTAACAAGATTGATAGTTGCAACATACAACAAATGCTGGTGAGGATGTGGAGAAAAGAGAACCCCAGTGCACTGTTGGTGGGAATGCAGGCTGGTGCAGTCACTGAAAAACAGTACAGAGTTCCCTCAACAACTTAAAAATGGAACTAACATTTGACCCAGCAATCCCACTTCTGGGAATATATCCTAAGAATCCCGAAACACCAATCAGAAAGAATATATGCACCCCTGTGTTTACAGCAACATTATTTACAGCAGCCAAGATCTATCTGGAAACAGCCCAAGTGCCCATCAGTAGATGGGTGCATAAAAAAGATGTGATATATTTACACAATGGAATACTATGCAGCTGTAAAAAAGAAGAAACTCTTACCCTTTGTGACAGCATGGGTGGACCTATAGAGTGTTATGCTAAGTGAAATAAGCCAGTCAGAGAAAGACAAGTACTATAAGATCTCACTAATATGTGGAATCTAATGAACAAAGTAAGCTGACGAACAAAATGGAACCAGAAGCATGGATACATGGGACAGACCGGTGAAGGGATTAGCTAAAGAATGTATATGCATACCCCATGGACATGAACAATAGTGTGGTGAAGGCCAAGGGAGGGGGAGGGGAAGATGGGTGCACATGGGCAAAGGAGGGGGAAAAAGGGGATACCTGCAATAATATCAGTATTAAAAATTTTTAATTAAAAAAAAAAAAAAGATTGATAGTGTGACACCAAAGCTCTTTCTCAATAGCTGGGTATGGAAGGACTCAGGAGATAGTCTCCCCAGGTTAATTCATTCATTTAACAAATACTTACTGAACATACTCTAGGGTCTGGTGAATGGCACAAATCCATGAAGCCCCTTTGTGGGGTCTACCATAGAAATGGTGAACAGCAGCGTTTATTAGGCTTGAACTGCATCAAGGCAAGGGAGGGGGACAGCTGACCAGGGCTTGATCATTCACTAACTCCACAAACATGCACTGAGAGATCCCTGTCTGGAACTGGGTATAGGACTGACAGAGCACCGTGCCCTACTCTGCTGCAGATCTAGAGAAAGGGGAGGAACGCACATTCTAAAGGCCTCATCACCACGTGAAGGGTTCTCCGCATCTGCCGCTCAAGTTCCCAGTAATGAAATGCATAACTGAAACACACCCGCCGCTGATAGGAGGTGCACAGCATGCCAAGAGCCAATGGGAGCTTCAAAAAAAATGAGAACTGGGAAGAAGTACCCACCACCCCACCTGCCTCGCACAGAGTAATGAAGACAATGTCGGTGCTAGCTCCCCTCTACTAAACCCCAACTTCAATGCTAGATGCTGTGCGAGGCTCCTTTTATTTACTCTTTCCTTTATCTTCACAACAGCCCTATGAGGCAGATACTAACATCATCATCTCTATCTAACAAGGCAGAGGAATATAAGGCACCAAAGGTTAAGTAACTTCATCCATTCACTTGGTAATTATTGATTACTGAGAACCGATTATAGGCCAGATGTTATTCTAGGTGCCAAGGATATAGCAGTAAACCAAACTACACCCCTGACCGCATAGAGATTCCATTCTAAGAAGAAAGAATAAACAAACAGAAGTACCTAATATCAGGAAGCTATTAAAAAACAGTCAAGTAGAAAGCCAGCATGAAAGCCAGGGACCTAGTGAGCGGTGGGGTAGACAGCCTGCCCTAGATGTGGCTCCAGGGCTGTGGTTCTGCAGTGCTGTGCTGCAGCCATACCCATCTTCACTGACCCAAACTATACAGTCCTCGGAGGAGTGGGAACTCTCCAGCCTCTCTCTAGCTTGAACAGAGGTAGCCACAGTGTCTGGGGGTGGTGTTCCCAGGGTGGTGTTCCCAGGGTGATATTCCCACGTAAGTAAGCCACTCACTTCCCTGAAGGGACTTTACTTGAGTGGCTTCAGATGGAGGGTTCTCACCACTGCAGTTCCCCTTCTTTCCAAGAAGGACTTCTTTTTTCTCCCAGGTAAGAAGAGGACACTGACCACTTTCACATGCTCCTGAGCACGAACAATCACGTTGGCCAGCAACATGTGAAGAGCGAAACAAAAGCCGAAACTATTTTGTTCTGCAGACATCACTGTAAACCTCAAGGAGCTCACTCCTGATGCTCCAAAAGCTCTGATTCTAGTGCACATGAACCCCTAACACACAGAACACTCTTCCTTCACACTTCCTCTCCCCCAAGGGAAAGGAATAAACCTCCTATATGAACATATAAAACTGGGAAGCTGGATTCAAAAAGAGCCACCTGAAAATGGCCAGTTCATTTTCGAGCACACATTTGCCCAGGGCTGTGCACACATTTGTTCCCTTGCTGTGTGCATGGGGTGGGGTGATCTGCAGTCAGGAACTAATGCTATACCTGGAATATAACTGTGACAAAATCACGTGCATGAACGTATATCATCCTAAAGAACTAATAAGACACTATACATAAACATGTATGTATGAGGCTGCTCACACAGCCTATAATAGTGATAGCAAAACAGAGAAAACTTGAGAAAAATAAAAATTGTCCAGAAACAAGAGATTAGGTGAATAAATGATGGCTTTCCTCTAGAGTCCTCCTCATACTCAACTTCCTACCTGAGCTCTCCCCTTGTATGTCTTGCTGGCATCTCCAAAAGAAGACACCTAATTCCTACCCCTTTGCCAACCTGCTCCTCAGCCTTCCCATTACCTATCAAACATGGCCTAAAACAGAAATCTCAAATCATCTGACTATTCAAAATTCCCTCACCTTCCACTTCCATCAGCAAAACATATTAAGTCTGTCTCCCAAAGTAATTTCAGATCCATCCACTTTTCTCCAACCCTACTGCCACTACACTAAAGCCAAACCAGCACCTTCTCCCGCCTGGACCAATCACAGCAACCTTCTCAGCTGAGGTGTACCCATCACACTCAGAGTGGGCGAGGACAGAGCCACCCGCCAGCGCATGTAAGGTTGTGTGTGATCTGCCCGTTTACCTCACCAGTCTCACCTTATTGCCCCCCGTCCTTCTCTAGCCACAGACTCTCCTCTCCCACTCACCCAGCTCATGGCTTTCCCACGTTCTGTCCCCTCTGTATCAGATGTTCTCAGCAGGAGAGCTTTTGTCCCTGTGGCGATATTGGCAATGTCTGCAAACACTTCTGAGAGTCACAGATGGGAAGATGGTGTTACTGGCATCTCCTGAGTGGAGGCCAGGAATGGGGTAAATATCCTACAATTCAGAGTGCAGTCCCTCGTGACAAAAAAGTATCCAACCCAAAATGTTAGGAGTGCTGTTTTGAAAGCTTTGTCCTACAGAGAAGAAATACTTTCCCCACTCCTCCCTTAGAATTCCAGACTGCTTTTATTCTTCAAGATTCAGTTAACTGTCACCTCCTTAGGCCTTTTCTGATCACACTATTTAAGATAGGTCTCCCCAAAGCACACCCCTCCCCACAGTTTCTCCACAAAAGCTCTTTCCCTGACAGCACTTCTCACAATTTCTTGGGTATTACCTATGTATCATTTTATTTGCTTGTTTTCGTTTGCCCGACTTGACTGCAAGCCTGATGCTTGCAGAGGCCGAGTCTGTCCTGTTCTCAGTATCTGCAGTGCCTCAGCAAAGGGACACTCGGTAAATATTTGTTGAATAAACAGATTATTATAAAGTCATTAAAATAACAAAGATCTGTATTTTAAATTGAGAGTTGAAGGACCAACACACAGATGAATAAAAAAGCAATTTATAAAATGATATAAACAGCAAAATGTTTTCAAAAACTAGACAGTGCATAATACACATTTGCACATTAAAATCAGAAAGCATAGAAACAAAAATATTATACACATATATGTTTTATATATATGCTGTCTCAGGGCAATGTCATTTAGATGACTCAAACATCTCTTCTGGCTTCTTTTCTAGTGTCTGATCTTTCTACCACCACTGTGACAAGGGTGGCCCTTCCTCCCCAAGCGTGACTGTGACTGCTGGGAATGCCCTCGTTGCCCATTGAACTACACCTGCCCCTGCTTACGCGCTCCCTCTGTGCTCTCCAGGGAAGGCTGCGGATGAGAAGTAAAGGGTAGGAGGTGAAGGGGAAAGGGAAGCGATGGGAACAAGTGAAGCCTGGAAAACCCACAAGTGGTATAAGCAGCCCCCTGGACACTGACTGCTGCCTTCCCCTCCTCACCTGGAGCGAAGCCAGGGGTGGCAAGAACTGCCCACAGGAGAGGCCATAAAGTGTTCGCGACCACCTAGTTCAGCTGCACCAGGGAATCTGACACCTACAATGCCTCGCCCATCCCATGAACCCCAGGTTCTCCGGGCCCCGAACTTCTTACCTGAGCAAACAGATACTCCAGGGAGCTGGCGTCAAGGAGAGGGGTTGCATCTGGAACTTTTTTTTTCTCGTAGCCATTTTTCTGCTTCTTTGGAGAATGCCGCCATACCGACTGCTCATTATCATTGGTCCCGTGCCAGTTGGTAAAATAGAACCTGAACACAGTAAAATGATGTCAGCTATGGGAACAGGGACCTTGAAATGGGTTGGAGAGGTGCCCTGGTTCCACCTGGACTTATCAGTGCCAGAGGCTAACTTTTCCTGAGAAGCAAGCAGACAGACAGACAGACCTTTCATCGGTAGCTCTTCATTGCTTATGAGGTCCTTCTCTTTTCATTCTCACAACACACCATGAAAAGCGTCCTGCCAGAACCTCATCTATGACTCGGAGATAAAGTGACTCCCTTAAGATCACAAAGACAGCTCCTGTAACTTTTCACTGTATCTTCCTAAGTAGGAAACCAATGCTGACTGATAGATGCTAGCCCAGCAACTCCCTCTACCTTTAATATGTAACCTGCCTCGAATCCAAGACATTCCATTCACATTTTAACATTTCTGAAATCTAGTATCATTACAGTTAAGATGGCAGTGTTTCCTCTCTCTCAGATTGCTGTTATTAAATCGATGGTTTATCTTATGATAAACAGAGGTTTAAAATAGGAGAAATAAACATGAATTACTAAAGTATCCACTCATAGTTTTCTGAATTAATAAGCACATTATATCCAGTATGCTATTTAATCCTTACAGCAACTGCACCAGGTAGACTTCACGGTTCTACTTTGCAGAGGAGGAAAACCGAAGTGTCAAAAGGCCAGGGGACCTAAGATCACAAGCCCGTTCTCTTCGTTGCACTTTCTTCTGCCGCCTGCGAGAGAGGCACAGGAGCCGGAATGCGTGAGGCTGCGCGAACCAGGCTGACCCGGGCCATCGCTGGGCCACAGGCTCAGCTGGGGACTACGCCTCTCTCCCTGACTGGCCCGTGTGCTAATGAAAAACAACAATAAAACTGCCTCCCTCAAAGAGCTGCCATTAAACTCAGACACCTGTCACTGAGCTGTATTTGCACAGACTAGCACATGCCAGGCCCTGTGATGCAGAGGGTTCTCAGGCACAGTCCCTGCCCTCGGTGAGGCTGTCTACAAAGCCCAACCGCAATCAGTTAAGTCCAACAATAACAATACAGTCACACACAAGGGGGCTGTACAGTCACACATCTCATAAATAGAACTCCACTGTGACTTTTGTGGATCCCATAGTTTTCCCTTCCTCCATATAAAGATATTAAAATTATATTTTATTTTACAGATTTATTTATTTATTTAATCCTCATCCAAGGATATGCTTTCATTGATTTGAGAGAGAGAGGAAGGGAAAGGAAGAGAGAGAAACATCAATGGGAGAGTGAAATACTGACCGTTGTCTCCCGCACACACCCTGACCAGGGATGGAAACTGTAGCCTGGGTATGTGCCCTGACCAAGAATCAAACCTATGACCTTTTGGTCTATTCAACAACTCTCCAACCAACTCAACCACACCAGCCCAGGCTATTTATTGATTTGAGAGAGAAAGAGTAAGGGAGAGGGAAGGGGCGGGGGTTGGAGACGGAAGGGGGGAGAGAGAGAGAGAGAGAGTTGTTATTCCACATATGTATGCATTCACTGGTTACTTCTTGTATGTGCCCTGACTAGGGATTGAACTCGAAACCTTGGTGTCTTGGGACGATGCTCTGACCAACTGAGCTACCTGACCAGGGAAAAGTTATTCTTTTACACCTCTGTCGGTATAAAGACAAATATAATCCATGCTGGATTGTATTAATTTTTTCCTGATTTTAAATAAAATTAAAACACTAATATGTCGTGAGCCCTAGGCGCTGTGCCTAATAGATAAGTTGTCCCTGGACATCAGGGAGTCTCAGGTGAGATGCCAAAGGAGTACTAAGGAGTGAGAAGCTGGCCACTGATGCCAGGGGAGGTGGCAGGGAAGGGAGAGAGGGTTGGGGAAGAAAAACTGGGACCAGAATAAATAAATGCCAGGCTATAGAGCCTGGACCATATGCAGCAGGCAGAGGAAAGCCCAGAAGGCAAGCCCATGTGAGGCGGGATCCCCCCTGAAGACAGCCCCATGGAAAAAAATAAGAGAGGCCAAGAGATAAGCAGATGCTATGGCAACAGTCTGGGCAATGTTGTGAGCTTTGTGGGGGTAAAGGCCTCAGTTGTCTGACTCATCACTGAATCCCTAGCACCTGGCAGATAACTGGTGCTTAATACATGCTTGCTAGATGAATATAAACAAATGAACTAATTCAGGGGATAGAAATTAACATGGAGAGGAAAGAATAGATAGGAAAGTTACTTTAAAAGTAAAATCAACATTTTTTAATTTCCAGGGACTCTATACCTGTAAATTATTAAAGTGACTGTGGGCTTTGGTGTCTTTTGCTCAGACACAGAAAGTACCCCTTATCCATGGAGCCCACATGAAGCATGAACCCCAGCTACAGGGACTGTCCCTCCACCCACCTACACGGCACAGGATCAGGCACTGGTAACAGAAGGCTGAGTCTATCAGCCGATGTGAGAGGGAAATATCGATCAGCTGTCCCCAGGCCAAGGAGCCTGTTCTTCAGGGCAGAGCAGAGAACAGCAGCAGAGGACTCAGCTTGGATCAATTCTCCAGGGCAGACAGAAAGTAATAGGCGAACCAGCTCCACCATCTGAGCAGACCCAGGAAAATCTGTCACTGAAGCAAGAAAAAATGGACAAGGACATGGCCAACCCTCTGAGTGCTGAGGAAAATCCAAAATGGAGTGTTTGGTTGTTCAAATAATAACTAGAGAGCCCCCAGGAGTTCCGGGGGTCTGCCTGGAAAGCGACAGGTAACAGGATCTAAGCAGGGTGATGAGGATGGTACTAAGAGCTTCTGCATGCTCACCATGTGCCCAGTCCTCCATCATGCAAAGGTTCAAAGCAGGGCTCTGATGGATGGGCAGGAAGGACAGTAAATTCTGTTTGATAGCACAGGAAGATGGTGATGAGAGATTAAGAAATATGTGCAATGTGGTAGGTTGCCTAGGCCAAGAGGAAGAAGGATCTCAAGGAGGGAGAAAATTGCAAGAGAAGCCCTGAAGACAGATTTCCCCTGAATCAGTCCAAGCCATGCTCCTCTTCTTCTACAGCCCTCTAAGTCTCTCTGAGAAAGAGTCCTTAGACCTGGTAGAGCTAAGGGCCCAGAACACTCCCTCTGGGCAGAATGCAATCTTCAATCCGTCTGAACAAGACATTCTTCAAGGCTGCTGTTCTGAGCCCTACAGAACAGCTCCGGCTTGGGAGCCTTCTGACAAGACGTTCAGACAGTATAAGGACAAGGAGATCAAAGATGATGTGTAGCTTCTTCACTTCACTCAAGGCTCAAGGAAGCCTGAACGAGGTTAGATCTCCAGAGAGTGCCTCAGTCAAAGGCTCGCAGCCTTCTACTAATAAGGTGACAAAACCAAAAACGCAAAACAAAAAGAAATTAAAGCAGCGACTGCCAGAATCAACAACTTTCTAATTTTGTCCTAATAAGACAAAACTAGAATTACATTGAGCACAGAAATTCTATATCCTTTTAAAAATTAATTATGAAGATATTCACCAAACTTGGGCCAAATACTAATTCCTAATATTATAACATGCTAATAGGAAAAAAATAAAGAATCACATATAAATGTAGCATGTTAGCTACCCAGATTCCTTTTCAGAATGATGCAGAGGAATAATGCAGGGAAGGAGGAGGAAGAGACAGACAGGTAGACCTATCCATCAGAAATATGCCCTTCTCGCAAGTTGTTGAGAAGATTATATTACAGATCATTGCATATTCTAAGCTTATGTACAGATGTCTTATACAACAAGTTCTCCTCAGGTTTCCACAGAACTTTACTAGTGGATAATGGAATTCATTTAGATGGGAAAAGGAAAATTGTTTCTCTTAAAAAGGAATAAAAAAATATGCTCATCTTATATTAAGATATACTATAAAACAATAACTATCAAAATCATTATCTAAAAATAGAAAACTATACTTGAAGCACAAGACTTTTCCCAAAATAGAGCTGAGATTCCACTACAATAGTCACCAACATTTATTTTCATATTACACCTTCTTTAATGGTGAGATTGTGAGGTTTCAAAATTTTTGTAGTTTGTTGTAATGCAAATGGTTTACCTTAGGGTGGATCTTTTTCCCCCAAGTTCAAAGAGCCTGTGGTAACACAGCAATATCCTGTTGAAGCGCAATGTCAGGTACAAAGTCAAGGTGCCAAAATGAAGCAGCCGCGCACTTCCTGGCAGCTGCCAGAGTGGGGAACAGGCAAGGACAGCTTTCTGTAGTGAGGCATCCACACAACCACCAAAACCAATGCCTCCAAGAGGGTTCCGTGCCAACAAGGTGATTCACTAGTGTGTGACTCTGGGAAACTCACTTCTCTTTTTTGGATATCAGTTTCTACCTAAAGAGTTAGTTGAATTAGGTAAACTCAGGTCCCCTCCAAGTTCCAAGTTTACCATTCTAGATTTCCAGCCAAGCAGAGAAACCTAGGGAAGCACTAGAATTCAATGACTTGCCCTCTTCCTAGACTGGGAGCTGTAAACACACATTTAAATACTGAACCATAGAAAGCAATATTATACTTTGAAAAACAAATCCAAATATAGGCAAAAGGCTCAGCTGGGTGGGGTGAATGTTTCCCTAAATCTGGGGCATACAATCTTACATAGCATATATCTCTCCTCACAAGGTGAAACTTTGAGTGAGCACAGAAAGAAGAGAAAAGTCAGCCTTAAGATGATTATCAAAGAAACTAAATCTGGTTCAGCTTCCAATGAGAAAAACATCCAGGCCATTCTGGAACGGAAACAACCCTACTACCTTCCCAAAGGAACTGTGGAGAGCATCTGAGATCCCCAAGGGCTTTTCCAGCATGTCCCTGCATTTCATCAGCACCAGAGGTAACCGACTGATGGAATCACAGCCCTGTTAGTTAAGATCCTTTTCAAAAAGTATCCACCCTATTTATGACCTCCTTTGCTAAGTACATATGTTAACTTGTGCTTAGCTACTATGTAACCACCACACTCTCAATTCTAGGGTATGGAACAAATATGCTTATAAACACAAGAGACTACAGCTATGAAACGCTGACTGTCTACGTCTACGCCACCAAGGGAGAATATGTGACTTTCAACAAGGTCTACAATATGGGAGAAAAGGCAAATACTCATCGGGAAAAAAATTACAGCCCCACTAGACCAAAGCCCCCAGGAGTGAACTGGAAGACCCACCCTCTGAGAGCAAGGAAACCCAGAAGTTCCAGGACACCACTTCAGGTAGTGTTTCTCAAGCTCTCTAGCTGCAACTTTTAGTAAGAAACATATTTTATTATATGATCACCTAGTTCATACATATGTATTATATATATATCTCAAAGGAAAGTTTTCAAAAACAACATTCTTAGGCTATATATATATGCTGATATTACCTATTCTTATTTTAAATTCTGGTCACAACTCACTAAACTAAATTCATAACCATGACTCACCGTTTGAAAACTCTGCTACAGGATACTAATTCTATTCAAAATACCCTCTGCATCATAACGATTTCTATCATGTGGCAGAGGGAAGGTGATCAAATTCATCTTGAATTGTATTCCACATACTGAAGAAGTCCTCCCTTATACCAAGTAAATACAAAGCTTACAAATTACAAAAATGACTATAATATTTCTTGGTAAGTGACTCAGGGCTCCAGGCTAACTGTCACTCCTTCCTGCACAAGGAAGCTAGGCAGGTACCCATACCTCATCCGGTAGTGCAGCCGGAGCGATGTCTTGTCGTCAACAGTGATGGTGCGGTTTGGAGCATACCAGAGCTTGGTGCTCTCGTCATACAGGGCAAAGAGGTTGTGGCACAGGGGAGAGATACCTGGGGAAAAGTAAAGAGCATATAAAAAAAGTAAAGATAGCCCTGGCCGGTTTGGCTCAGTGGTAGTCAGCCTGCGGACCAGAGAGTTCTGGGTTCGGTTCCTTACCCAAAGGTAAGGGCACATACCTCAGTTGTAGTCTGTCCCCAGCCCAGGATGGGGTTGTGTGGGTGATGGCCACTTGATGTGTCTCTCTCGCCTCGATGTTTCTCTCTCCCTCTTCCTCCCTCTCTCCCTCCTGCTCTATCTGAAGATAAATGCAAAAATGTCCTCAGGTGAAGATAAAAAAAAAGTGGAAATAGATACACTGGGCTGTTTCCAATGCGTGGCATGTGCAAAGATAGGAAATTCTCTCATCCAAAAGAATTCTGGGTCACATTCGTATCTCTTAAGGCAAATAAGACTACCAACCATGTTCAATCAAGCAGTTTTAATAATAATAATAATAATAATGGCTCCCCAGAAATATGCACTATAGCTCCTGGCAAACAACATTAAAACATTTTAAAATGGGTGTCTCATGGTAGTTCTCACTACAGTGTCTACGACACTGTCTTAACCAAATCCTTCTTTTTCAAAAAGACCATCTGAGAAGTTCCCAGACCTCTGCCTGATGTTCACCTTGCTAGTCATGGACACATTCTTGGAGTCTGAGAGGTCCCTGATCTATCTCCTATAGAAAATGTTTAAACAATTCTAACATACTGTGGTCACACATTAAACATGCAAAAAAGCTTCTGGCAGTAGCTCATGAAATTATATGTCAGAATAAATAACCAAAGTGATTTCTGTTAGTGATTAAAATCTACTACCATTAATAATAAATATACTTAAGTACTCTCTATAGCTATCATAAATATTTTTAGTAGCCAACTAAGAAGCAACTCTGTGTTTAACAAAGTGGTCCAATAAGCTCCCTTGCCTTCCCGCCCCAACACCACTTCCTCCAATACAAGAAGGATCGAAAAGATAAGGGAGATTATGAGGCCAGGAAAGCACCTTTTCACTCACTTCTGAGCTCATGATTAAAAATACACAGATCTGTCCTCTAAAGCAAGTGGGGAAGGGAGGAAAATGACAAAAAATAATCAACACTGACTGATATTTTCATGTGCGGCCATGTCTCAAACTAAGATATAGTAAACTTAGCTGAAAATAATGTGAGAATGTGAGGTAACTGGTCCAAGTTATCTTAGAGTTACCCCTTCAAAAGGTATGTTCCTCCTCGTAACAAAGAGGATGGAGCTAAACTTCAAACAGCATTCTCTCTGGGGAAAGGGCAAGTGGCTTTTGCACACAGTATTCTTAGGGCTACGTTTCACGTGTACCATAGTTTTTCATTCACAAATTGGCTTTTGTGGACTGGTCTGGAAACCTCGCCTTTCTTCATAAACATCCATACTTAAATGTGCACTGACTACAAAGTTGAAGCATAATTTATTTATAATCATGGATCTGTCTGTCATTCTATCACAGGTCTAATTCCAATAATATCAGTATTTATAAATATGAGGATCAAAGATACCTTTTTATATAAAAATATGGAACAATAGCAACACTAACATTTACTCAGGGCTAAATATCAGGCACCAGGTTAATACACTCTACATTTATTATCTTTAAATCCTCCTAACACCTAATGAGGTATTATTTTTGCCATTTTACAAATAAAGAAAACTGTGGTCTCCTGTGATTTAGTCTGATTCAAGGTTACTCGGCTAGTAAAATGCAAAGTTGGGATTCAAACCAAGATAGAACTACTGAGGAGATGAAATAATGAGAGCTTAAAATACAAAAATTTGCTATATAATAGTGAAAAACACGGAAGAAAAGAATCCTGCCCCAAACTTACTATAGTAATAATGAGCTACAAGATTATGTGGCATGCTGTATTTGTAGATTTTCAGGAAATTGATAAATTTTTATAACATTTTCCTAAGTCAGCTAGAATAGAGACCACTCCTTCTCCACAGACTGGGCTTAGAAACGGACGCCCCAAACGGACTGGCGCTGAGCCCAGAGTTACAGAAGGACAGCAGCTGTGGCTGTCTTCGGACCCCAGGCTCGCTCATCTCCCCCGGCAGCAGTACCTTGACCTCCCTTTAACTGCAGCCCAACAACTCTGCACAAATGATCTGTGCTCACAAACTGAGGTTTCCACCTGCTATGCTGGTGGCAAGAAGTTTGGCAAAGATGACATATACTATAAACTAAATCTCAAGTAAAAAGAGAAAAAAACACAATGCCTTAAAAAATATTTTAGAAGTACCAATTTACATCTAGTTGTTTTGCTAATTACAAATATTTTTAAAGCTGATGTATAAAGCCGATTCCTTATATACTTTGCTATTTAGTCAAAAAACTTTAGAATATGAATGCATTTTTCCTTTATAATCTATATAGCTCACCCAATTTTACCCAGTGTTATGTTTAGTTAGTAAGGGTCTACTAAACTTTTCCCTATAGCACCAATCTCTGTTTTTTAAATTAGAACTCTGGTACTTAGAGCATTTTAGGCAGAAAGATATATGTCAGAAAGAAAATTAATTTTCTAGACAAGCTATATTACAAACAAAGAAGATGACTTGAAATAATCATACTATCCCCAAAGAGTTGTCCTGAGGGCTAAAGATGATATAAATAAAATATGGATCAAACTGTCATCAGAGCTAGTTCATCATCAACATAAAATGAGTTGATTTTATTTTCATTCATTCATCCATTCATTCATTTCTCAGCCAAGGATGTGTTTTTATTGATTTGAGAGAGAGAGAGAGAGAGAGAGAGAAACATTAATGTGAGAGAAAAATATCAACTGGCATCCCAATCGGGGATGGAACCTACAATGCAGGTATGTGCCTTGACTAGGGATCAAACCAGCAACGTTTTCGTACATGGGATGACACTCCAGCCAACTGAGCCACCCATCCAGGGCTAAGTTGATTCTTTTAAAAACAGCTTTATTGAGATGTAATTTACATACCACAAAGTCTACCTGTCTTAAAGGTATAATTCAATGAATTTTAGTATATTTACAACATTGTATATCACTATAGGATCTAAGTGAATTAGATTCCTAGGTTTCTATGACATGACTTTGTCATTTAAAAGGAGAAAGGCAAAAACTGCCAATGACCCCAAGTTTAAAGGATAATGAAAATGGTTTTATTTTGTTACTCAGTTTGGTTGCCACCTTCTGAAGGCAACAGGCTAAGTTTAGTAAGACAAGCCTCACTTTGAAAAAATGGATTGTGTTGTTCACAACCTCACTGTCCTTTTCACAACTCCCCAATCTGACCAAGCCACAGAGTGACACTCAATTTCTCACTTCACCTCTGCATAACAAGGGGGGGGGGGCGGGGGGGGGCAGGTCACAGCAGCAAGACGAATCACACTTTCAGAAGTTCTGAACAATTATTATAATATGAAGAGATGCCACTTACTGAACTTTGTGCTAGGTGCTTTGCTCACTCATTTCGTGCTAATATCCCAATTTCATAGATGTGGAGGAAATAAAAACTAAGCTTCCACAGAAGGCAAGCATTGTTCCTTGGTATCCCACAGCTCATGACAGCAGCAACAAACCACTTTGCAATGAAGAAAGTGAAAAGTGAACCTCTCAGAATTCAATTCACTGTCCTAAGGTCAAATGCAAGTGAGGGGCAGAGGCGGGGCAGAGGCAGGGCTGAACCCCTGACTCCCAGAGTCTACACCTCTCTCCTCAACGGGGCCACTAGGGGCAGAGACACCCGATCTGCTTCTAGGATGGTGTGCCGCTGAAACCTGCCCTGGGCCCAAGGCAGCAGCCAGTACTCACAGCAGTCCTGCGCCGCCCTGATGCACAGCTCCTCCGCTGTGTACTCCCCGCTGCCCAGCCGGAGGGGCTCCCTGTCCGACAGGTAGAAGAGCACTTCCACCCCTGGCTCAGGGGCTTCCAGATTCACCTCCGTCTTCTTGGAGCTCCGCATTTTAGCACAGAAAGCCATGGCATTGCAGTCCTCTTTTATGTTTAGATACTGCAAGGAAAACAAGACTAGGGTCATTCCATGTGCTAAAAAGTTCCAATGGTAAAAGAGAGTGCTGTGAAGATAAGCAAGCAGAAATGCGCAGTATTGGATAAGTACCTCTCTCTGCCCTTCCCTCCCCAGAAATCAAATGCATCAGAGCTTACGAGAGGTAAAACTATGGAAAATAATCAATTACACATTCTAATTAATTATGACCATATTCTCAAAAATCAGAATAATTTTAGACAGGGCTTAAATTTATTTTCTCTATTTGCACACAAGCTATTGTTGGAAAATGTGGCTCATTCTGGAATCACTGATGTTAATGATACTAACATTGCTGCTAACTCTACTGGAATCATTTCACTTCTGAGTAGAGCTATGGCAAGAATCACACTGTCTTTTAATTTTATGTCGATCTCCCACTGAACTGCAGACGCAGTAAGGGCAGTGACCATGTCTTCTCAATCTTCATGCCCCCAGAACCCAGCCCAGGGCTGACTCTTACACAGTGCACACAAAATGACTAGTAACTCATGTTCATAAACCACACAGAAAGGTCACAAAAATTAATAAATAGAACCAGGTCCCCAGCATCGCTTGGGCAGGTAGGAGGATGGGCAGCACATGGTAGCAGCAGAATAAGGGTGGGCGGCCTTGCTGTGCAAAGGTCAGAACCTCTGTGGGAAGCTTGCAAACAAGTCATTTGTGTGAGCTTCCTAAAAAGGGAGAGCAACAAGAATCAAGGAGCCAACCTCAGCAACTTGATCTTGGGCAAGACCAGAAAGGAGAGGGGAACAAGGGAAACCCCTACCCATTCTTTCTTCCCCTCAACCCAACACCAATGGCTTACAAACTAATTTCCCTGACCCGATGTCACAACTTTACTCCTGTCTTCCAAGCCGGCCTTCACTTAGCCCCCAAAGTAATGTCTCTGAAAGACAAATCAGATCCTCCAAAAGTCCCCCCACTAATCTACAGACCAATCTCAAACTCCTAACAAAGGCCCACCATCACCTAGCCTCACTAGTCTCAGCTTCTATCACTCCCAACCTCTTACTTCATGCTTCACACCCACGAAGCTGCCATCTTCTTGTTACCTGGCCCCATCCCGCCAGTGCTATGCTTCTCACCTTCCTGACTTTGCTCATGCTGATCCCTCTACCAAAAATACCTTTCCACCTCATCCCTTTCATGGCAAACTTCAATTTTCCTTAGAACTCAGCTTGGATGTTAACTCCTCCAGGAGGCCGCCTCTGAACCTCCAAACCATTCCCTAAGTTAGACACCCTCTCCCAAACTCACCACACTGCACTAACGACACTGAATTACAACCACCTTATTCATTTCTGTCTCTTCCTGGCAGATACTGTGAGTTCCCTTAGGGCAAAGACTGTGTCCTTCATCTTTGTTTCCCAAGTACCTAGCACTGAGACTTACAAGCTTGCAGAACGACCCAAGGAAGCTCCTCAAAACAAGACACGTCATATAGAATGGACAGCAATCACAGTTCTCTTCACCAAATTCATGTGCTTGGTCTATTAGGTGCCCTGATGAGCGAAGACAGTTATAGGAGGGGCATAAACTAGGTATGCCTCAATGCTACAAACTGAGACGCACTCAATTTTACTTGTTTAATCTCTAAAATGAATCTGCAAAACCAGAATCTTCCAGAAACCAAGCTGAAAGACTAACCTCATAACTTACTTTGAGGTTCAAATCACCTGTTAGGCAAGAAAGTTCTAAATCTCAACACTGAGTCCCCAAATTCACCCCACAATGAAAAACAGAGATAGAAAACAGAGTATCAAGGCTGCTTCATAATATGAGATTCACCTTTGTCCTTCAGATTCTACCCAGACATGGCAGGGTAAGAATGTAAAGATGGTGTTATACCCTGAGGAGATAAACAGGCAAGTACACATAATTATATATATACAAGATGTGGCACCATTTGAAATGGGGGGGAAAATACAACCAACAATGTCCAACAGGAGAGGACTCACTCAACAAAATAAGTAACAGCAACAGTAACACCATGCAGCTGTTAAACATTTTAACATAAAGCTGTACAACCAACACTGACAGATGTATATGACATACTACAAAAGGAAAAAAGAAGCATAATGCGTATTTTATGACCCTCGTGTTATACATATTTATAATCTGGAAAAACATACAATACAATTAACAGTGGTGAGCTAGCAGGGATTCCAAGGAAGCTTTAACTTGTACTTTGTACTTCCTATACTTTTGTGTAGGGATTTTTTTTTTTTAAGCAGCACATTCGAATCTAAAATGAAGAAAAATTAAAAGACTGATATTTAAGAACTAAAGTATATAGTACAGGTAGCCATACAAGCTCAAGATTGGTTTCATTATTCTTTTTTAAGTTATTTTCCTTTTGGTCATTAATATTTGAATGTACATACCTGCATTTATTCGGCTGTCCAACGTCCCCCAAAAGCAGACGAGATTTTCTTCTCTACTTTCCAAAGTCTGTTCAGAGCTGAGCTAGACAAAGAAAAATAAATAAATCAGCTGCAGAGGCAATTGCATCAGAAAATAAGAGGACACTTATTAAGGAAACAGCCCAAACCATAAGCGGGTAGGAAAAAGCATTTGGGAGGAAGAAGGAAACAAAAAAAACATTGATGAGGGCACCGAGAGGACGGAGAGGCAGCTTAGGGTGTAAACATCAAAGAAGATGTTATTCTCACTGCTCCAGGAAAGGAAGCTGGGGACTTCTGATTCCTGGCGTAGAGTACCCTGCCCAGAGTAAGTGGAGACTGTGCACCTTTTCCGTCAACAACCTCTCTCCTGAGGCTGGGAACAATAGTTTAGGATACCCAAAGATGAGCACTCTTATTTCCTATTTCCATTTCCTTTAGAATTACCCTCCTCCCAAAGCGGTCTGTCCTTGGCCTCATTTTAATGGTGAATCAACATATGGTACGATGAAAGGGGGAGGGCCTGGGAATAAATCTGACGACGCTTTCAGTTCACCAAATATTTTTTAAGCCATTCTTATTTGAAAACTTAGGTAGCAAATAAAGCCCCACCTCCCACCCCAACCTTACCACAAAGCCTACTAAGCTTGGTTCTGTAGCATTCAAGTGCCTGGTCTCACCCTCACAACCACCCATTGACCCACACACCCTCACCCACCTACGCACACAGAGCTCTGTATTGTTTTAACAATTTTCCTTGGTGTTTCTCACAAATTCTTTTTAACAGTAGAATCAAATTATTTTTGCAAATAAGGAGCAACCACTCTTAGTGATTTGAAACTGGTTTCCAAGTTAATACAGGTTACTGGCTGTTTTCTGTCTGTCACTCAACACATTTTACCAGAATCCAGCTTTAGGAAGCGCACAGTCCCAGGTGTAACGTGGCAAAAGTAGAGGGGTGCTGGAGAAAATGACATGAAGATGGGTCACCTCTAAGGCTACAAGGCCACCATTCCTACAGAACCTTACAGCCCAAGTGGGAGATGGTGCAAAGGAAAACATAAAAGCAACCTAAAATCAATAGAGTGTGTCATGATGTCTTCCGTACCTCTAGCTAACTCTGGCGACTAACACCGGCGATGGCTATTTTGGGTAGGCTTTCTGCAGTGGATGAGACTTTTCAGCAAAAGTAATGATAGGAGGCCAGGCAGGGTATATAGTATGAATTCTGATGTAACAACTTTGACATGGACAATTTTAATAAGATTCAAAGAACAAATTATTAGACTTTCAGCTTAAAAAATTTAACATAATCAATTGTTTTAATTATGTGAATAGATATCCTGCCCTGCATTACAACAGCAACCTGAAATTAGCTACACACTAATGCCTTACTTCGGCTCAGAAGCAGGGTTTTATTTTTTTATTATTATTTATTTTTATTTTTTTTTATCCTCACCTGAGGACATTTTTGCATTTTTTGTTCAGACAGAGCGGGAGGGAGAGAGAGGAAGAGAGGGAGAAAGAAACATCGATGTGAAGAGACACATCGAGTGGCTGCCACCCGCAGGACCAACCAGGGCCGGGGACAAACTGCAACCGAGGTACGTGCCCTTAGCGGGAACCAAACCCGGGTCTCTCGGGACCGCAGGCCGACGCTCTAACCGCTGAGCCAAACCGGCCAGGGCAGAAGCAGGGTTTTAAATGTCACATGTAGGAGATTAATTCAACAAGGATTTTTGAGCAGTTCTAAGGGCCAAAAACTGAGCTATATCAGGAGGCCACAATGAATAACAAGAACGATATGGTCCCAGATCACATGGATTTATAGTCTGCATTACCGATAGAATCAAACAAAAATGCACAGAAACAGGTAATTATGAAGAGCTTAAAATGCTCTGAAGGAAAAAGAGAGCTCAAGCAAGAGGGAAGTAATATTGACCAAAGATTTAATGGATATCTGGGGAGGTGGGGAGAAAGCACTCTGGGTGAAGGATGAGTATGTGCAAAGGCCCTGTAAACAGGAGGAACTAGTCTGGTCTCTCCAGCTGCAAAAAATCCCTCCAATACTCCTTTTTACATCTGGGCAAAGACCAGCACCAGCAGATTTATAGGCAGTACTTGCCAACAACATGTCTGGGACCTTCCTACCCCAGGTTTCCTGCAGTATGCCATTATAATCTGTTGCCAAGGATGAATAAAAATTAACCAGATGAGCTCCATGCTTTAAAGCGTTATATATCTCAAATCAGGAAAAGGGACACATACTCGATGCCTTCTAGAGCAGGAAAAGACCTATAAGTTCCACCAGGTCCAGGCTCTTTAAGAAGAGCTACAGCATAAAATTTTAGAACTCACGAAGTATTTTATACATCAGATCACATGTTACTTGAACTGAGGAGTCATGGGGTTGCTCTTGACCTCATGTAAGATTTGAGGATCAGACTAAAATCACTAAGATTCTTCTAGAACTAGGACTCTATGGAAACCTGTAATTAAGCAGAGTTTGGTTTTCCCATATTCTTTTTCCACTAGGAGCAGCATTATATTGAAATCACATTGTGTCTAATTTCCAAACTGATCTTTGGCATTACTGGACAGGATAAAAAATAGTATCAATCTGTGATGCTTAGCCTAGAGATTAAACTCTTTGAGAAAACACGATCAGGAACAGAATTTCTAGCAAAATATATTTACTACGATGTTTTATATGCTGATTCAATAACAACAAAATCCCTACTCTCAGGAAACTGACATTCTAAGGATAAAAAATTTTAAAGCACTTAATAGACATGCTGGGCATCACCCTAAGCACTTAAACCTTGGACTACTGATCCAATTCATATGAAATGACAACTGTCCTCATTCAAGATGACAAGTGGTTTTTGGTGCTACAGCATTTGTGTAATGGCTTCATTCAGATAACATTTCTTTCCAAATAAACCAAACAATATTTCTAGCAACTTACTCTTACAACAGGTAGGAAAAGAGAAAGATCAGTTTATAAATACTTTGGATAATTCTAAGACATCAATTCAAGTTTCTTGCTATAGGATACAAAAAGAAAATCTTTCATCTTAGAAAAAAACTGACCAGTTGGAATTACACAATGCCCTTTAAAAATTACATGATTCATTGGGTTCCATTCCCAGCTCAGAGGAAAACAATGAAGCTCAGAAAATGGGAAGGATAAAAGTGAGTAATGAAAAGCTTTTTGATGATGGCAGTGAATTCTTCCATCCTTATTCACCTATACAGTCCAAGGATTTGAAAGAAAATGTCTTTCTTTCCATGACAGAGGATTAATTTTGTGGCTCAATCTCGTAGATGCTACTTTATATGGGGGGGGAAAAATCAGGGAAATTTTGTAATTCTTGATTTTTTTTAATTTATAAAAGTTTTATGCGAGAGACAGATACACATGATACTTTCTGAATGAGGGAAAAGTAACAGAAACAAAACATAATTTTGTGAGCTTGAACATGGACTAAACTGTACTAGATGGGATTTCACAACTATTTTACAAAATGCACAATTCCAAAAATCTATTTCTGAAAATACTAAAACCCTCTAATATTTTCAAGGATATCTCTTGAAATACAGGTATCTGTATATGAAGAACATACAATTAAATTTGGAATAGTGGAGAAAAGAGACATAAAAACAGACGATGTTAATATTCACAAATATGATCATCAGAATATTAATGCTTCTGGCCAAAGGCCACTGCCAGATTTATATGATGAAAATAGGCTGGATAATAGTTAAAATCAATGACAATCAAAATAAAATACTTTGGGTATCTGATTGTTTTTAGTAAAGAAACCGTCACACCTCCAGTGAGTTACTTTATGTGTATCTTAAAGGAATCAAAGTTTTTAATTTCTGAAGTAGAAAATACAAATAAAATGTTGAGGTAATTAAGGTATGAACTCAAGGGGGAAAAATTTCATGTAACTAGAAAATGTCCTGAAATCAGCTACTTAATACCTTAAGAAATTTTAAGTTTAAAGATATTAAACATTAAAAAAACTATTTCAACAGGCACCAGTCTTATGGTGGGTGAGGAAACTAATGCAAAAATATAAGCTCCTAGGGCAGTGGTTCTCAACCTTCCTAATGCCCTGACCCTTTAACACAGTTCCTCATGTTGTGGTGACCCCCAACCATAAAATTATTTTCGTTGCTACTTCATAACTGTAATTTTTCTACTGTTATGAATCACCATTGGAAATATGTGTTTTCCGATGGTCCTGTGAAAGGGCCATTTGACCCCCAAAGGGGTCGCGACCCACTGGTTGAGAACTGCTGTCCTAGAAGGCAGGGACTTTTGTTTCTTTTGTTTCGCGCTTTACGCTGGCACATATCAGAGGTGATCAATAAATAGTTAAACAGTTGTTCAATGAAAGATGAAGGTGACAAACTAAGCAATATATGCAATGGAAAAGTCACTGTAACCAGGGTGGTGGGTTCTTAGTGACTTGATACACAATTAGCAAGTGTGACCTTGAGCAAGTCATTTTAATCTCTGAACCTCAGTTTCCCCATCCATTAACCTGAGAGAAAACATCCTGTCTAAAGGGTTGGTGTAAAGATCAAAAAGGGTCTTCCAAACATTTTTCATCAAGCCTTTTTCAAATGAGGCCGGAGATGTGAAAGTGCTCGGAAAGGTGTTAAGTGCTAAAGCAATATAATGTAGGCTTTGGCAGAAGACAAGGTGGGCTGTGCGCTTGCTCAGAAGAGTAAACAAATTCTGAGCAGAAGTCCGGTCACAAATCAGAGTCCTGTTTCATAAATCTCAGAGGACACAGCAGACAGAGCAGCTAAAAGCATGAGCTGGCATCACCCTGGCCTGGGCTAGATCCTACCTTCCCCACCTACTAGCTATTGTAATCTTAGGCAGGTTACTTAACATCCCTACATCTCAGTGTTCTCAGCTGTAAGCGGAGGGATGAAACAGTGTCTTCACAGAGCTGTTGCGAGTTAATGAGTTAATGCACATCAGTGCCTAACAGAATTCAGCAGGCAGTAAGCATTCAGATTTGGCTGTAATTTCTGTTAAAT